AAATTTTGACAATAACCTTTTCTTTGTGCAGCTTTGGCCAAACTTGGAAATTTCATCGCAAGCTAGTCACGCCCGCTTTTCACTTCCGTGTGCTCGAAAACTTTCTGCCCATCATCAACGAACAGGCAGACAGACTGGTCGAAAAACTTCAAGAGTACGCCGGAGGCCAAGCCATCACCTTACATCATATATTATCCAAATGCGCCCTAAACGTTATTTGCGGTGAGTTCAAACACCTACATGGGGCAATTTTCAACTGACTCTTCTACAACGCGTTGTTGACCGCTTTTTTCGTTCTTATAGTACACGACTGAAATACTTCTATATTAGTTACATGCTGCAATGAACCAGAACTTCTCACAAATCCGTTGAATAAAGTGATGGGATGCGAGATTGTTTGGCATCCTCGATTATAATATCATTACAGGATACCATCTATGAGTGATGACGGTTACACGCTAGCAAGCTTTTAATGTCCTTTGCAGTTAATCATAAACGGGCGGGTTATTAACCATTGCTTTCATAACTATTCTCTGTCTAACCTTAGCATGGACTACGAAAACGATGCAAGCGAAAGTCGGTAGCCGTAACTACTAGGCATCTGAAGCTTCTACTTTCCTGCAAAGCGCATGAGAAATCTAATCGCTGCATTCCGCGAAAAATTCTTGGCGAGTGATTAGGCTGATTCATGTCAAGACATTGACTGTCACGAACCCGAATCAAATATTTCCCGCAGTGCTCGTGCCCACTGTATCAGCCGAATCTATGCATCCTCACAGCGGGGATCGCAAAACTTGATGACAAAATCCCGGGGATTTTGCCAACAATGTGATCCCCGCAAATTCGTCATCCAGTTTTGCAACGGAGACAAAGGAAACGTCCGCTTTCATGTTGCATTCCCAGTGGCGTTCAAATCGCAGCCGCCAAAACGGATCCGCTCATTTTCATCCTCAAACGCGCTGTACTTTATATTGTATCTTGAAGCAGCCACATTCGCAACCGCCTCGCGAATGCGGTTCAACCGCCAGTGGCATTGAGGTATTAGTCATAAAATTGCGCAACAATAAAAAAAGCAAACAAACAAAAACATATTGGTTAGTTGCGCTGTGTGCGAGTAGAGACCTCTGCGAAAATCGCCTTGTGCGGGCTGCCATCTTGGTGTGCTGGGTTGTAGAACGCCTTTTGGGCAGGCACTGTATATCAGACGCTGCGCGAGCGTCCACAGCTCAGTGACTCATCATTTTTCTTCCGGTTGATAAGCATTGCAAAGGTCTATACTTGGTTCCTACTAGTGCCAGCAAGCTTGTGTAAACTGAGAAGTATTCCTACCCAATATCGTTGCACGGCCCCTTTTAGTTTATATAATACATACTGCACCACAGTATTTATTGACTAGTCGCCAATGGATAGGAAAGAAGAAGATTGCATTACAGAGATTGCGCCCGCTACTTTGCGAAAGAGACAAAGTAGGTTGCATTAAGGACATTGTCCGCTGCGTTGCAACCTGCCACAGTATGGAGGCATTCTGACTTAATATCTCACATGTTCACGTAAGTTCTCCATAAACCTTTGAATAATCCTTTGCGCTTACCCAACTCCGAGTCTTGCTGAAATAAATATATTATGTTAAAATAAATTGAACGCAGTATTTTATTATTTAAAAGCATTTTTTTTTCTTTATTCATGAAAACAAATTATGCAGTTCAGGGGAGAAGGACACGTGTACGTGAAATAAAACAAAGACCTTACGTCCGCTCATTGTGTCGAAATCTGCTCATGATATATAAACTAAGCAGCAAGGCGTAATAGCTAGAAATCTGGTCTTTGTTTAGTCCAATGACCTCAAAAACGATCGAGTTTCTGCGACGGAAAGCCTTTTGGCATCATTAATTTTATGCCAGTTCAAAAAAAAAAAAAAAAAATATATATATATATATATATATATATATATATATATATATATATATATATATATCAAACATTTCTCAAAATAAACAAAATAGTGAGTCACAATAAGGTACAGGTAGCTTCTCCATAGTCACTGAACATTATGAGAGTTATTATGAGCAGGGCACAAAAGCAAAATGTCATGTGCAGCACGCGCATGAAGGCATCGCACATCCCGTTCAGCAATCAGATTTAGAAATTTACATGAGCGCACCCGCGCGGTAACATCAAAGAACGCGCGCGTGTACACACACACACACAGACGCACGCACACGCGCACACACACACACACACATACACACACACACACGCGCGCGCGGACGCACACACGCACGCACGCACACACACGCCCGCACACACACACACACAAGCGCACACAAACACACACACACACTTAGTTTACAACAATATGTTGTGACTTTAGCCGTCAGTTTTCGCCAGCTCCACCACATTTAATTTGGTCTTGTCGCACTCACATGTGTCTCTGGAATTACTCTTCGATATGTATTCGAAATCCGCGGCCTGTAACCATATATATTATCGTACATCTGTGAAGTTTCGCAAAACCCAAACAACTCGTTTTTTTACGTAAATGATAGCCGCCTCGGTGGCTCCGAGGCGAGAGCGCTGGCCTACGGATACCCATGTGGCGGGTTCGAATCCCGGCCGAGGTGCCCGCAATCTGACGGAGGCTTATGGCGGAGGAGGCGCCGTGTGACCGAGCTTTCGGTTGCATGTCCAAAGATCCCCAGGTGGTCCAAATTAATCCTCAGTCTTCCGCTGGGGCGAGCCAGATGCCCGTCGTTGGTTTGGCACGTAAAACCCCCAATTTGACTTTTTTTACTTAAATGATGTACGCAATATTTGCACTAGTGATATGTCTATTGATTTTATGCACTTGGCTGTGAACCGTGCGGAAAGTTAGCCATTTTTTGTTGTTGAAGGCGCCTAGACTTACACAGTTGCCCAATCATTTTTAACAGAAACACACGATGCACACTATAGACCATCAGAGAGAAGTCACGTCGCACTCGTTTCGCTTGATTGAGTCACACAGTATCACGCACGTGCACAGAAAGGTGTGCCTTAGGCACTTATTGAATGGTTCAAGGGCACTCGATGTCCACTGCACTCGGGGTTATGGCAAAGTGAAGTGCAGCAACTATACTCCGTTTAACCTTACGATAGACCGCAAAGGACGGTACCATATATCGAGGCTAACCCAAGGTCGCGTGGAGGTCGCATTACCGTCGGGAGGGTCACAGCGACGTGCGGACTCCAGCGTGCTTAGTCAAGTGATATGTTCGCAGCTCTGTGTTGGCTAAAATGGCTCATAGCGTCCACCGTGATGCGAAATTAAGAATAACAATGGTAAGAGGATGACTAACTTTGCAACTACAACCTGGAGCTGAACTTCACAATAGACATAGTTTCATTCATTCCCCCTATCGTGGCATATATGACGTCCTATGGTCGCGGGCTCCAACACAGCTTTGCCCACTTTAGGGCGCGTTCACACTGGCGACTAGCGACAGTCACGCGAACGTCTAGCGACATGCGACAAGCGACCACCGACGTTCACACTGCGGGCGATCGGCGAGTCGAAACCGGCGAGTCGATCTTCGGAACCTCTCGGGAGATGCCGTCGATTCCGTGCACACCGCCAGAGCTCGGGTTCGAATTTCGCTGCTTTTTCATTTTCGTTTTCTCACAGATGCGTCGTCGTTGCAATATAAAAAGACTCGTTATGTTGACCATGGGTCGTACTGACCCCTACAAAAGAAGCAGAATCGCTACGGCGTGCACTCGCTCGAGCTACAGCGTCGCAGTACGTACCTGCCAAAAAGCGGCACGGATTTGCTGCTAGGCCGAGTTCTTTTTCGGGTGCTCGTCAACTTGGAGTGCTGCGATTACAAAGCAATTGGCATTCTTTAATAGCGCTGACCAGAGCCACCGCAGAGACATCTGTGGTTCCGTATTCATGGCCGCTACCGCGAACCGAGGAGTTGAACAGACATGTTGGTTGCTTCTCCCACAAAGCTCTAAAATAAATCCCGTGCATCTACCTTTCCGCAGAACACTCGGAGTGCCAGTCACCGCCACTTACGGAGGCAGCTAAGCGAATGACGATGCCGAAAAATATATTTAAACCAAAAAACGCAGTCTGAGTTGAAGCCAGTGACAAATGCGCCTTGTGCACATACACAATAGGCCCTCTCCCCCCCCCCCCCCCCCCCCGCCAATCTCCAGTTACAACGCCTACACGCACACACACACACACACACACACACTCTAAAAAAGCCGGTGAGTTTGCTTTCCCGCACAACACTCGGACAGCCAATCACCGCAACTTACGGAGGCAGCTCAGCGAATGACAATGCCGAAACATCTGTTTAGACCAAAAAACGCAGTCTGAGTTGTGACATTAAGCAATGCAAGCGTGACGTTTTGCATTGCTTAATGTCACAGCTCAGACTGCGTTTTTTGGTCTAAACAGATGTTTCGGCCTCGTCATTCGCTGAGCTGCCTCCGTAAGTTGCGGTGATTGGCTGTCCGAGTGTTGTGCGTGAAAGTAGACGCACAGACATTTTTAGAGTGCACACACACACACACACAGACACACACACACACACACAGTCTGAGTTGCGACATTACGCAATGCAAGCGTGACGTTTTGCATTGCTCAATGTCACAACTCAGACTGCGTTTTTTGGTCTAAACATATGTTTCGGCATCGCCATTCGCTGAGATGCCTCCGTAACTTGTGGTGACTGGCTCTCCAAGGTGTTGTGCGGGAAAGTAGACGCACGGGCCTTTTTTAGAGTGGTATACTCCATTTGATACCCGTTGTGATTTTACAATTTTATATGTAAGTATTTAAATTGTGTAGACGATTACGTGGTGGGGCGTCATGAAAGGAATTCACGCGGGTTTCCCACCACTTATGTTAATTTTTCTGGTTTGAAATGATTTTTTTTTTTTTTTTAGCGTACTTTATAGCGCACGTGAATTCTCAAAGGGAGTTGAATCAACTTCTGAGGCGCCGCTGATTGCCTGAGCCGCTCCGCGACTTGATCGCATCGAAAAAAAAGTCGAGTCAGCCAACGACTTCTCGAAAGACGTCGTCTTTTCTTTTTCCCGCGATGGTAGCTTTTGCGATGGAAGTTATCGCGCGAGTGCTGCGCATCGCTAGAGTAAGCGCGCCTTACTAACTAAACGTTTTCGGGTCTGTCGACTTTCTACGCTCCCTTTGCGTATTGCGTTGGTAAACGCTTTTTCGCACTCTGCATGAAAGCAGCTGCGTCTTTCCTTTACAGAATGTACAATCATAAACATTCCTCGTTGTAGACTGCACCCTCGGAGCTCCGATCGTTGACCTTTATTTAATCATAGCGACCAATGAGAACGCTTATCGGTATCTTACCTTGCTTGCGTCTCTGTCTCCTTGTGGAAAAGATGGTACCATTTTTAAAATTATTGTCTTTAGCAAATCATCGCATTTTTTATTCAGGGAAGTCCTGACAGTTTACAGGGAGAACAGTATATACTTCGGTCGCCGTAGGAAAGAAAGGAGGCGCGAACGGCAAACGAGAATCCACAGTATGAGCGTATTACGGCGGCTGTTCTCTCAAACGCGTTCTTGCGTAGCGACATATGTTTTGGTAAATAGTTCAGAAAGTGCTCATCCCAGTGCATGGTGCTAATGTCGGAGATTCGCAGGATTCTTGTGTGCCGCTTGCTTGTCCTTTTCTTCATATGGAGGTCACCTCTTTTGCCCATCTGTCAGGCTTTCCCAGTGTAGACCTTTCCAATAATTGCCTTTTGGCGGCTGCCACCTTTGTCTCTTGAGCTGTGGGAGGTATTCTGAGCGTGCGCGGTAACTCTGTTACACGAAATATGAAACGCCGCATATACGTCTACAATCAAGTGAGTCAGCATTTCTCGCCTGGCTGATACGCGCTAGAAAGGTCTATGGACTCTTTTTGAAATTCACGTGCCGATTATTAGAAGTTCGGAACCACTGCACAATGGCGGAACAGCTGCATCGAGGAACGTGCAAGTCATTCCATAAGATAGAGAACGTCGGAGCGCGGCCAACGCTAGGAGCCGACGAGCCAATCAAACAACGTCGAAAGTGCAACGCCACTACGCTCATCACCTCTCTCTGTGAGTGTGTTTATTCCAGAGTGCCGTAAAGTTGAGGTTTTAGTCCGCCATTGTGCAGGCATTCCACAGCTGCTAACAAAGGGCAGTATTGCGAAAGGAGGCTACGTCCAAATGCATATCTCCCTCACGCTCCCATCTTCATACGGTCTTAAAGGCAAAATGTGATAACACTTTTTTTTTTTTTACTGAGGCTGCCTGGGGGTTTATTCGTTGGTTAAACAATACTGAAAGCAGAATGAATAATGGCGTCCTCACTAAATTGTGGAACTTAACACATGCAAGAGCTTCTTAACCTGTGGTGTCTACTCGCAAACAAACCAATTTTCCATTGTATTATTAGTATCTGCGCCTCTCATTTATAGCTCTGTTCAGCAGATGTGCGATCCAGCGTGGGTGTCGCAGTAGATCACAGTGATAGATCGCCTGCCTGCTAAAAAGAATAAAAAAAAAAAAAAACACCAAAGGGTGGGTTAAAATTAAAAAAAAAACAAATAAAGTAAAAGACTGTCTTACAATTGTACTTTGTCATGTCCGTGTCGTTGCGTTGTGTGTATATTTAAGAATGAACTACCAACCGACCTAATCGTCATCGTTATTATATTCTTCTGTGTCCTCTCAAACAGCGTACGATGGAACATATATGTGTCTTTCTTTCATAATTCCACGTCGACAAGTAATTAAAATAATAGTGCGATGAAATTGTTAAGCCTAAGTATTATATTCTACAGAAACAGCCATGGGTCTGAAACTTCACGAACGAGGAGTGAGTGCGATCGCAGATGAGTACGAGAAGGACGTGGAACTGTAAGTTTTTTTTGTTTGTTTTTTTGTATTCAAACGTAAAACTAGCATCTAAAAAAAAAAAGAGTTCTTTTGGCATGGTTCCACCCTTTTCCTTTAATATTGTCCCTCTCACGTTTCAGAGTTCTGAAGCTCTACATGAAGCGCATAATGCAGCCCTGGATGTGGGCGGACTTTGTGTACGCAGCCACCACGAGCGGGAGGCAGTATGCGAAGCTGGTAAAGAGGCTACACAGTTTCACCAAGAAGGTAAGACCCTCGCGCTAAGAGGAACCCAGGAAAGGTTTTCGAAAAAGTTCGTAGAAGGCATGTTTATTTCATTTATTTTATTTATGAACCTCTAACGGGGGCCATGCCCGGTATGGGGCAAACATTCGCGTATAATATACATAGGGTTCCGAATTTTCGGAGTTTACTTTTCGTTGAATTTGGAGGGTGTTTTTCGGAGTTTATTTTTTGCCGAAAATTTGAACTTTTCGGGAGTTTATTTTTGTTTGAATCCCAATTCTTCAAAGTTCGGAGTTCAATTTGCAGTGTTTTTTATTAAAAATAAATAAATAATATCCGGGTGTAAACGTATCCTACACACAAAAAAAGAAGACGCGATTGTACCAATTAATAGTTTCTTCAGTTGGATTTGGCGTTGGTGCCATTACACTGGCAATATTAATTAACCCCACGACAAAAGTTGCACACAAGTGTTTCTTCGATCAATGTCATTCCCTTAATATCAGTAAACACCTGGAGGCAGTGGCTGGCAAGCTTATATTCATTCCACTCTATTCCATCAACCTACCGCGCGGCCGCGCAAGGTAGAGGGGTAAAAAATGGAATAGTGGAGTTTCAACTGTCCCTCTTCCCCCCTTCATGCCATCTTTATGGTTCAATAGCTTTCACTGTAACAAAAACACAACCCCTGCTTCCTCTAAAGCACAATTAGTACGACCCAAACTGGAAACTTAAAAAGTGACTTTTGTCGTGACCCGAAAGTACAATGACATGTTGTCGTGACCGATATTTGAAAAATAAGTGTGGTGGCATTTTCCCAGGACCATTGACTCTACGCGCTGATCAAACAATTAACTGTAAAATTCTTTTGTATGTGTGTGTGTGTGGGGGGGGGGGGGCGCTTAGAAATTCGGAGTTTATAGGATAAATCGTAATTGACCAAAATCTTTCCGGCGGGTGTTTTTCGCAGTTTTTCGGAATGATCCGAAAACACGGAACCCTAAAAATGCGCTACAAGTTAACTTTTTTTCTCTTTTATTTAGACTCTTAAGTAAACGTTAATTCTTCGATCAATGCTATACGCTGCCCACGACCGTACAGCTGAGTGCGACTGAAATCGTACGCAGAATGTATGCAATCTGCAAGTATGTCTAACCACAAATCCATTGTGGAACCGGTGTTATGATACACATATCAAAGTGTTTTTCATTTTGTTACGACTCTGATTTCCGCCTTATCAATGTAGTAAACGTGGGGGACGCCGAGGTCACACTGATCATACATCTTTCAAAACACGCGAAGTTCCTCTGCAGACATGGTAAGAATATTATATGTGGACATGCCTGAAGTATCTGCGAAGCAGGTTTACTTCATGCACATGTATAACTTCGAACATGCTCGCAGAAGGTTTTTGTGTGACTAATTTAACGGGAGGCCATACAAGGAAGAAACATGGTTCAAACAGTGTCAGCAAGCGTGTTTTTTTTTTTGTATCATGCATTAGCAGTGTGACGGCCGCTTTAGGTATAGATGGGAACGAAATATGAATAATTATGACCAAGTTTATCCAGTTAATAGTGATATGTGTGAGGTCATAAATTCATACTTGCTCAAACTTTACGCAGTTTTTGTTGTTGTTTCACAGGTCTTTATTAGAGTAATTGGGGTTCGACTCATCTAGCTTCGGTGCTTGCCGAGCAGGGGTAGAGGGGCGGGTTGCAAAGAAGTGAAAGGCCCGAAGGGCGAGGGGGGGGGGGGAGGCTATTACTTGAGGTTCGTAGCAAGTCCTGTGTGCATCTTCTCATCGCACTGTGGCCAATAAAATTGCTGCATTAGATGATAAGAACGCAAAATAACCAATCACGAAAGAGAAAAGAAAGAAAAACCTTTACATTTCCCTGTAATGCCGAATTAGAGCGCAGCTCTTGATGAGGAGGAGGGAGGGTACAGAGAGTAGGGTACGCCCCTACTCCTCCTCCGTACCATCTCCTCCTCCCCTCCTCTTACCTCTTCCTCTCCTTCTCCTCCTCTCCTCCTCGCCCTCATCCTCCCCCTCCTCCTCCTCCTCTTTCACCTCCCCGCCTCCTCCCCCTCCCCTCGTTCCTCCCCTCCCTCCCTCCTCCCTCGTGACGTCACTCGTGAAGGTCGTGACATCACTCGTGACCCTCGTGACGCCAAGTGACGTCACGTGTGACGTCATTATGGGAAACGTCCCATAATGCAACGTGCGCTTACGCCGACGGCGACGCCGCTCAAGCCGGAAACGGGCGCCTAAGAGCTACGCTCTAAAAAAGCGGGAACATAATGAGCCGCACCCTCGGCTTCTTAATTAAGCTGTCAGGGACTCTAGACCGACCATCCTCACGTACGAGCCAGGAGCGAGTCGAAAGCCTGCTTTCTGGCGTCATCGGGGTATGGTAAATCAATAGCTTTTAACTGACAGAATTAACGCTATGCCAGCGTACTTAAATAAAGTGCACCGATTTCGTGTCACTCCAGTAGACATGTCAATTATCGATTCGATTGTTTGCACAATATTCAATTACGTAGTTAGTTTCATTCGGTTTGAAACATCCGAAAGAATAAAACATGTATCGACGAAGACAGGTACCCGAACAGTTATTTCAACCAGCAACAGCCATTTTGTCGGTTGCTAGTTGAAAGACCTGTACTGTCTGTCTTCGTCCCTACATGTTTTATTGCTTTCTGGTTTTCAATTTACAATTATGTTTAAGCACCTGGCGCTGGGAGTGAACACATTTCGAAACAACCGAAAGTACAAAAGACAGCAAATAAGTCAGTCAGACGACGTCTCAAATCGTCTTTGCCAACCCGCCCTAATATTATTTTAATTCGGTCCTTGAATTTAGTCAATAACGCGTAACTCCCTGCTGCACTTTAAACAACATATTTACCACTCACGAAGAACATTGCTGCATTTTAAAGTTATTTTTGGTTTTTCCCACCCATTACACTTAGGTTATTCTGAACAGGCAAAGTGGCTTCGCCGCTGGTAGGCGAAAACTAGACGATGACGCTTTCCATGAAGCCGAGACGAACGAGAAACGGCTCGCCTTCCTTGATCTACTCTCGAATCACTACCGCAAGGAAATGATCACGATTGAGGACGTACGACAGGAAGTCGACACGTTCATGTTTGCGGTACGTATAATTGACTCTGGTGTCCCTATGAACCACTACATTTGCCAAGGTGTACTCTTTGAGCTAGTGTTATCAAAAATTACGTCTTGCTGCACGCAATATTGCTAGGTTTTCCGGTTTACCATTCCTTTTCTATGCAATCAAACGATCCAATAAAACCCGAGCAGCGCACCAAGGCAACCACAGGGATGTCCATGGAATCCATCTAGAGCCTGCCTATATAAAGTCTTATGTGGAATTTCTTGATATCGTTCATCGTCTTTTGGAGGTACTATACTCCAACATTTTCTTTTCTTCTTAACATCCGTATCGTCACGCCAGCCTGAGTCATAGAATGTCCTTATTGTAAACATAGAAATAAAACAGCGCAAACAAACACAAGGACAAGTAGAAGGAGGGACACAGACACAGCGCTGTTATGCTTATGCTGTCGCAGTCAAACATAACCGTATCAAATGTTATTTGCACAATCCGTCGAGGCCACACCTACGCTCTACAGTCTGCCTCAGTGATATCAGGTTCACGTTGATCTTTTTACATTTAAACTCGCTAGCGTTACCCCCTACGTTTTACTACGTATGTTACAAGAAGCATAAGCATAAGCCGTACACGAACTATCCAAGCACTCGCTATGAATACCTCATATAATTTTACTGCTCGCATCCATAAACCTGCGCATTATCTTTGCTTCAATTTCTTACAGACGCATTTTCGAAAAATTTGGCAGAGACACTTAAGATGTTTACATGTAGAAATGCGAGAGCATTCCTACACGAAAGCATTTCTTCACGCAGCGCATTTCTACAAGCAGCGCGCCACGTTTTCTTTTCGCACACGGCGCTCCGACGGTGACATCATCACTGCACAGGCGCGGCGAATCTCGCCAGTTTCACGATGGCTTTCATGACGAAGCATTGTGTTGCTCTGCTTTTCTTTGTGTTTTATTTCTGAGGCGCGTCCGCTTTGACCTTGAGTGCACCCGCCGACTTCCGTGACGAAGCATCTGCGTAGATGTGCTTTTTGTGTTTAATTGGGAATGGGAATTTAGGTGCAGTTTCGCTCAGCCAATGGAAATTTAGGTACCGTTTCGCTCTGCCAATGGGAATTTAGGTGCCGTTTTTGGCTGCTAAAGACAACGCCGGCTTCGCTCCATGGGAGCAGCTAATGCTTTCGCATTAAAAAGCAAAATTTCGTGCCTCACCTTTCTCGTCTGTACTTCCCAGAATATTCCCACGCCATGCTTCTTTTTGCTTTATTGTTTTAGGGTCACGACACTGTCACTCAATCACTTACCTGGACTTTGTTCGTTCTCGGCATTTACCCGGACGTTCAAAGCAAAGTCCACGAAGAGCTGGATCTAATATTTGCCCACGACATGACGAGGGGCATCACGAGGGCCGACATTGCGGATTTGTCTTACCTCGACCGCGTCATCAAAGTAAGCCGTGCGTTCTTCTATCACATAACGGTCTAAAATGCATCACGTGTAAGAATATTTAGTGTAGTAATTTTGAGGAATCATTAATTCTTGCTGATATAACTCTATTAAATTTTTTTGCGCTTTTTTCCAAGGAGACAATGCGCGTCTTCCCTACAGCACCCTGGTTTGGACGGGCCCTGACTGAAGAAATTGAAATAGGTAAATAAGGAGTACAAAATGATTTTTATACCTCGACTATTTTATGGATAAAAAAAAATACCGAAGTTGGAGACGAGAAGGTCAAATTTGTTGTAAAGTGGTAAAGCGAACAAAATGGCCCAGCAAAGCGCGTGGCCTTGCGTACCTGTTGCGACATCTGCCGGAAGAAGGCGCGCAACTGGGTGTCGTGAGTCGTACGCGGAGCTGAGCAAAGCAGTTAGCAGCTCTACGCGTTCGGGGCGCGACCACTGATGTATGATTACTATAACGCTTGAATTTTAAGCTTTACCGCTTTCTTTTATCATCGCATGACATTTGTTTTGGCTGCATATAGAGAAAGAAGCTTACATTAACAAGAAATGCTCTCAGTGTGATGGCACGTCACCGCGATCTACGGGTGGCTCCTTCAGAGGGAGTTCGAAATTCCGAAACAGTGCGTCACGTGGAACCGCCCTATGATGAGGCATATTTCCGTTGCGCACGTTCTCGTACATGCACCTCTTCGGTTGAGATGTTGTCACGTCCAAAACGCAGTCCTTTTTGCAAGCTTATGGTCAGCGTTGAAATATCACCAGGGGTTGTGCCCCGAGCGTGAACAGTCGCTTAGTGCTTGGCTCACCTGTGCACAAATGGGACTCGTGACACCAGATAACACGACTTCTCCCAGCAGATGGTGAAAGAGGTACTCGAGGCCACGTGCTCCGCTGGTTCATTCCGTTTTGTTGAGTACTGTACATCCTGAGATGATGTTCGTGTTTTCGCTCTGAAAGCCTCGGTGAATAGAAGCGTCTCTATAATACATACACTGTTGCGGTTTTTGGTATTAATGTTATCTTGAGTTTGTTCAATGAAGAGGGTTGAGAGTAGGGAAAGGTGATACTAGCTTTCTTCTTCTTTTTAATGGGAAAAGGGAAAATTAAGTGACCGTAATGTCGATCAGGAGCAGGAATTGGAGGTGCAAAATCCGCCTTTCAGCGCATACTAGTTAAGTCATCTTGACTCACTGGTTTAGGTGACCCTATAATGACCGGGTCAGTACAGGTTTGGTCAGTCTTGATTTCAGTTGAGTCAGGTATGATACCGCATGCTATATTCGGGACAACTTACTGTGGTAAGTATTTTCCAAGTGAGGGAAAGTGCGCATACCCACTTTTAATCGGCGCCCGAATATGTGTTATCGTATCTTTGACTGCACTGCCACCTACAGTTGCCTCCAACTATAGTTTCGAGATGCCTTATAGTGACGTGGCCCATAATTGCAGTTTGTGATGTGCGAATTCCCGTCTTCCAGGAACAAGGGGTATTCCCTGTCGTTTCGCGAGTGCAAGCCAATACCTGCTTCCACGTGGCTATACACCATTTCTTTTACGCGGTCGTTTAAATGGCAGAACGTCCTCTATGGGCGAAAACATTGTTTTCCTGGAGCCGCGCCACTGGAAGGTGTTCGTGTGTCAAGCATAAATCTGACTGCTTGTTTTGTCTTGCTTATATATTTTTTTTAAATATATTTTGAAAGTTGCGTCATTTTTTTTTAATCTTTTCGTCCCAATCACGTGGCTAAGGATGAGAGGGGAAAAAAAAGGTACTCACGTTGTACACATTTTTTCTTCGCATCGCGTCCGCGTCGCAATGGCAATTTTAGTTTATATCTCTTATTGGCAAGTGAGTGTCACCTGGCAAGGCATCACCTGGTCTTTAGACCAGGTGATGCTTCACCTGGTCTAAAGAGCCTAGATTTATGAGCACAAGCAACTTAAGACATAAAAAGCTTTCGCAATTTAACGGCAGACGCCTCCTGGACACATTGGGTGCATTTGTGCATATGCGTGTGTTGTCCAGTGGCGAAGAGGACAGAGGGCGATGCGTCTCCAAGCGTCTTCATGCTTGGAGACGCTTGAAGACGATCGACGGATTCGTCAACTCCTCGCACATTGAACTACAAACGCAGCTAATAAACCATGTGACACCGATCAAGCAGTTGGAGACACTCTAAAACCTGAAAAAGCTAGATTCTTGTTCATCTTTCATTCGTTTGTGACGCTTAATGCACGCTTGTCGAACAAATATCTATTCTCAGTTTCAGATTCAAAAATATTCTTCTCTGTACGTTTCAAATCTCAAAGTTACAAGCTCGAAAAATACGTCCAAGTTACACGCTCAAAAAAGAAGTCGGAACGGCTGTCTCCGTGTTCCGCACGAACACGGAGACAGTCAACCACTGGGAACAATAAGAAAATTTCATCGAATAAGGAAACTCAGAACAAGATTATTTTTGAAACATGCAATATGCGCAGGGGCACGAGCAAGTGAAACGTCATGCACATTGTCCCCACGCACATCGCACTTTTTTTTTCGTTTTAACAGTATTCTGAGCTTCGTCATCCGCTGTCATCATTCTATTGTCTTTCCTGGTTGACTGTCTCAGTGTTTTCAATGTAAACTCACAGGGTTATTTCAAGGGTGAAGCACGTGCTTTGCTGCGTGAGTGTGCACTCCCCTGTTTGTGACGGCCAATATTGACGGTGCAGGAAACTATCAGATTCCAAAAGGAACCACGTGTTTCGTGTTCACGTACGGCCTTCATCGAGACCCGGACCACTACCGGGACCCTGAAACTTTCGACCCCGACCGCTTTCTCCCGGAAAACTGCAGTGGGCGTCACCCTTTCGCCTTCGTTCCCTTTTCGGCTGGTCCGAGGAACTGCGTGGGTGAGGACACATGTATTGCAACTTGTTCAACTGTTGCACCATAAAACGCTGATCTGTTTTTCACGTTGACGATTCGTCGCTTAGAATGGGCAAATCATGTTTATAATGCATTGAATAGGATTCAGAATTCGTGTAGCACTGACTTTAACAACAAAGGTGTGTTTATTACGTTTATACAACCTTTTCTCATCAAATCCTCGTTCTTCCCTTCAAATGGACGGCCCTGCCTCATAGCGAAAGAAACAATGAAAATATTAGAAAAGTTTTACTAGATCGTTTTGATAACAACGACAGCAATCCACGATAGCGTTACGAAGCATGTGAAAAGGTGCTGACAAAATATCCGGTGTCGCTATCAGAGTTATCGCAACGATCTACAAACACTCCCTATATTACCTTGGCGAGAGATAAACAATTCAACCGCACTTGTCCGAGGTTGAACACTAAATTGCCGTAGGCTTTATTTGTAAAATGATGGGACTAAGAAAAAAATTAAATAAACTTAGACAATGGCCACTTCAGAATGCTGCGCGTCTCGCTGACGATACGTTTAAAGGCTATGATACTCGGTAACTCTACTGCGGCAATCGAGTGTCGTTATGAACCTTTTTGCCGTCGAACTTTTTTTCACAAAAGACATAAGTTGGGTAAAGATATTAAAGAAAAAGTTATATAAGAAAATCAATGCACAGTTTTATTGTTTTGTTTTTAATTATCTGGCGGGAGGTTGTACAGTGCTTGCAAGGTGGCCAAGTTTAGAAGCATGAAATGGGTATAGTGAAAGTGAAAATTTGTCGCGTTTCTTCCTTACGGCTTTATTTTGGCGGGTTCGCTTCAGCGACATTTCGGCGGTTTCAGATTCCGATCCAGAGGTACTTTACAGAGCTTCTTCGTAGGATGACAAGCCCACATCCTTTGAATTCAATCTTGGGAAGCATTAAGTCTTATTCCGAAAAGCCGACTCTCCAATTTCCACTACCGCCAGAGCAGCCGACATGCGAAGCAACAACCTCGCGCGTATAGCAAAGCGAAGCACCTTTTTCACACTTCGCCAAAAACATCATAAATAGTAACACCTCCCGCGGTGAGCGCGGTTTCGCGTTTAGGCAGTCAGTTTCAAATGAGCATTCGCCACAGTGCATGTACGGCGACGTCTGACAAAGGGTTCAGAAGCGATCTACTAATTCACGGGACGCCATGTTGTTAGACCTTGTTCCAAAGCGCATGCTCAGAACTATCTTCTATTTATCGTCTTCCAAAAACTGCGATTCTGGTTTTGTGGAATGGACGCTGAACGTGCATCTTCGTGCATTCCTCGCAAGCAGTGGAGTCATATATCTATGGATGCCCGTGCGCTCGCAAACCTTGAGCATTAATCAAAGCTGTGCACGGGCCGTGTTTGCTTCTTCTGAAATGCCCGAAAAAGCTGTACTTGAGCATCGTTCTGAGCATGTGCTGCGAACGACATCCAACAAAATGGCGTCTCGTGAATACCCTCATACTCTGATCATACGTGCGACAGAAAAATTATCCGGTTCCTCGCAGTCAGAGTTAGTTCTAAGGTTATCCATAAAGCGTGATTACATTGAAGCACTGTTTGGGGCAGGTTGAGAGTTACAGAGTGGTTCAGCAGATTAGGGATGCCGCGAAGCACCCTAGGTTTGAATTCGAAAGGTTTCGATATTTTCGACCGTACCGAGGTTCGAATTCGAAAAGTTCGCAACTTTTAAATACCGTGGAGTTTCTAAAAGTTCGGGTTAGATTATTTCGAATATCTCTTTACTTGAGGTTCAAGAAATTGGAAGATTTCGAACTTTCCTAACTTAAAATTCGAGATATTTGAAATTTTCAAATTTCTTAAGATCTAAAGTTAAAAAAATTCGAAGGTTTCGATTTTTTTTCTAATTTGAAGTTCGAAAAATCGAAGATTTCGAATTTGTTTGAATTTGGAATTCGAAAATTTTGAACGTTTCGAATTTTGATAGACATAAAGTTTTATAAATTCGAAGATTTCGAATTTCTTTCTTTATAAAGTACGAAAAGTTCGAAGGTTTCGATTTTCTTTTAAGGCTAAATTCAAATAAAAAAACAAAAAAAAAAACTTCGAAGGTTTTGAATTTTTTTCAAGTCCACGTTTTCAAAGTTCGAAGTCCGGTTTTCACGTTCGTCCACCCCCAGTTTCAGTTTCAAATAACATTTTCACGCCTCAATGGTTTTCACAAAATCTGGTTTAGAAAAGTTCGGGTGTGATATTTAGACTACGCGAGGTTACTCAGGCAATCAAATGAGACGATGAGTGTCCCGGATGTACTGGAATATTTACCAGTGCAGAGTAATGTGGTACCGTCGATCAGTAATTGTGACCGCCGGGCCGGGGGGGGGGGGGGGGGGGAGGGGGGCTCTTTAACATGCATCACGCAGTAGTGATCACACAAAAGCACTGTTTAACGACACTCATCCAGTTCGAAACGGCCAGGGGCAGGCAGGTGGTTCAGGCTAAGAAAAACCTTGAAGCGATCTGGCAAACTGCCTCCCTATACCCCCTTGCACGCTGGTAGTAATCCGATCGAACGCCGCCCGACTGACGCTGGCATATTTTTAGTTTCTACATGATGCAAAATCCTGAGACTGGGAAGGAAATTTATAAGAAAAAGTGTAAAAACCAGCTGGGAGTGTTGTATTCTTGCTTATTCAGAGGCCCAGAACTTCGAAACAAGTTTCTCCTGCCCAAATGTATACAGGCTAATAGAAACACGTCCCAGGAACGTAAAATAAAAAAAAAATAAAACAAAAAATAAATTAAAAATAGCTTCTTTTTTTTTTTGACGGCGTGTCGAACTTGAACAATATTAGAAATCTTCCCCCATTAGTCAATTTATTCCTCAGCGTGAAAAAAAAACAATAAATACATTATTTTGTATTCTGAAGAGGGCAATGATATGTCTGTGGTGTTAATTTAAATGCGATATCGCAAGAAATTTAGACGAAACAAATTACCAAGTTTAGGTCATAATCACCCAGAGATACATGTCTGGATATTTCTTCGAAACTCGTCTTAAACAACAATATTAATATCTTAAAACGACACCTACCTAGGCTACACATAAATCATTCTTAAAGAAGTTTCACATCTCTACCATGAATAACTTCGGCCATAGCGCGCTTCAAGTATGGCATAAGCGACAATCGCCGAAACCCCGTCGTCGTCGTCCTTCCTCGCTCCTTCGGAAATTCCTTTCTTTAAAACTAAGCATGCCAGAGCAATGAAATAAACGGCATTATCTTTCGCAAAGAATGCAGCACCGCGTGAAAAAATGCGAAACAAAAAATTACGAATGTACCTCACTGCTTAAACCCAAATGGAACCGCCCCCCGGTCTTCCGAAGTTCGACGAACTTAGATTTTTTAACCTAAAAGTTCGTCGAACCTTCGATTTCTCAGGATTCGAAAGTTCGAAAATTCTTGAATTCTTTAAGATAGTAAGTACGAAAGTTCGAAAATTATCAAATTGTCTGGCGCAAAAAGTTTGGAAGTTCGAAAAGCTTCGAACTTTTTAGTGCAAGAAGTTCGAAAGGTCGAAAATCATCGATTTTTAGTCTATCAAGTTCGAAAGTTCGACAAGCATCAAATTTCGCAGCGTGATAAGTTTGAAAGTTCGAAAAGAATCGACCTTTTTAACGTATTAAGGTCGAAGGTTCGAAGAGCATTGCATTTCTGAACGTACAAAGTTCGAAATTTCGAAAAGTGTAGAACTTCTTAGTTCAACGAGTCCGAAAAATTCGACTTCCATCGAATTTCTCGATATGGAAAGTTCGAAAATTCTAAATCTTTTTAAGCTTTCGAACCGCTTAATTCGATCATCGAACCTTCGGTTCGAAAAAAGTTTGCGGCACCCCTAGGTCAGGCGGATCAAACCAATCTAAATGATAAAAGAAAGAAATTAGACATTTACAAATCTCTGTAACGCGAAATCAGAGCGCAGCTTGTGAGGAGGACGAGGGGAGGGTATGCCCCTCCTCCTTCTCCGTGCCCTCCTGTCCCCTCCTTCTCGTTCCATCCTTCGTCTCCCTTCCTCTTCTTTTCCTCCTCCTCCTCGGTACCTTCTCCTCCTCACGTGACGTCAATTTGCCTGCTAAATCTAGCGAAGAAACTGAATTTGTTCATAGGTGACGTGACACCATGTCAGGTGACGTCATTTTCCCCACTCGGAAACTGAATTTAATATTAATAATAATAATATCTTTATGTACCATGTGGACGCTGAGGAAAAAAACTGTCCAAGCAGCTTGACTGGTCCTCAGCCCCCCTCAGGAACATGCAGTGGCGAGAAAGACATTTAAAAGAACACAAGAAAAATATATAATAATACAAGGTACTTTCATCATAGCAATGAACAGACAGCTATCAGCAATACATCAAACAAGAGTAAGACTTGGCTATAAAAGAAATCGGGAAGTTGTACACAAGAAAGGGAAAACTATCCAAAATATTCTAAGATGCTTCAACACATATATATATATATATATATATATGTAACTTTTCCCGGTTCATTGTTTTTATATTTACCTTACTTTACCTATTACATATATATATATATATATACATGGACACATACACATATATCCACATACATATATATATGCACATACACATGCACTTACATACATACACACATACATACAAACGCACACATATATATATTATACGCACGTACACACAGGCATACATATGTGTGTTTTTATGCTTCGTACATTGCGCGAAGTTCACTATATCTGCAAGTGTACAGATCAAAATGAACGTGGTGACAGTTGTTTAAAAGGGATGGTAAAATATAACGGAGACATTCTTTTCCGGAGTTCAGTGGAGTTGTAGGGACAACCCAGCTCTTTGTGTCTTGTACAGTAACTAGAGGTTTTTATTTGCAGTTGGGAAAGATAGCGTACATTACTTATATTTCTCTGTGTTTCTAATTTATAGCAAGCACTCAAAAGATATCTGTATTGGTTGTGTGCCCTGATAACGCGAGAACGACAAAAAAAAAATTGAAGTTGGTGTTCCATAAGGGGCGTTATAGATGTGGCGAACATATTTCTTTTGTAATAAATGAATACGCTGTAAATTTGAAGATGTGGTTGTCCCCCACACTAGTTGACAATGGTTTAAGTGTGAGTAAAACAGTGATTTATAAAGAAGCAACTTAAGTTGTGCGGGAAGGAGGTATCGAATGCGTCCAATTATGCCAGTAATTTGCGCTATTTTTGTTAGCAACTAGTTTACATGAGCGTCCCATAGCATGTCGGCGGAAAATATGATGCCGAGACAGCTGAAATTATCTACCTCTTCTATACGACGTGAATTAAGGAAGATATCTGGATGTGTAGGAACGGGCTTGTTTTTGGGTCTGAATATAACCGCTTTTGTTTTCTTCCATTTACTTGCATTGCGTGTTGAGGTCACGTGACGTCAATTTTTCCGCTAAATTTTGCGGGGAATTGAATTGCTGTTGAGGTCACGCGATGTCACTTTCCCGCTAAATCTAGCAGAGAAACTGAATTTGTTCATAGGTGACGTGACACCAAGTCTTGTGACGTCTTTTTCCCCGCTAAATTTAGCAGGGAAAATGAATTGGTTTTGTGGTCACGTGATGTCAATTTTCCCGCTAAATTTAGCGCAGTTACGCCGACGCCGACGCCGCGAAGCCCAAAAATGGGCGCTTGAGAGCTGTTCTCTAAAAAATCACTTCTACGTTCTACGGCACTGTAATTCACGAGAAAGGAAACGTGCACCGATCAAAAGCCACACCAAAAAACGGAATTGTTCGATGCTTCAATATAGAGGCAAGTTTTTATCATGTCAAGGCGAAAGAAAAAGTTGTGCTGAGTCATTACGACATTTGAAGGGGTATCCACACGAAGAACAACTCCGCGGACCATCAGCAACCGGGGAAACTATGTCCTCGGTTCTAGCATCCACACGGACGGCGGGGAGCCGTGAGGGATATCAGAATAACCAGCCGAATTTAGCGGTCACTCTCTCGACAACAACGCTCGGAGACGGCTGAAGGGGGCGCTCGCCGCCGTAGTCGAGAGCAGGAAAACGGAGGCGCAGAGGAAGCGGCCGTATGCCGTTATGACAGCAGCGCTGCTAGAAATGGACGACGGCGACATTCCACCTACTAAAAGAAGGTTCTGGGTGAAAGGTTGGATAGAGAAGAAATATTTTGGTATGCAGAACCGGTTGTACGAAGAGCTGCTTGAAAGCGACTCCGTGGAGTATCGATGACTACTTCGGGTGCCCCATGACGTCTTCGTTGAACTACTGGCTGGCGTGTGCCTATCAGCGTCGTCATTAATCTTTGCCATTCTGCCACCGCGCTATTCCAACAGTAATGGCGCAGGCGATTCCGAAAGCGCCAAAAGAACGAGGTGGCCCCCGTGGCCAGACGAGGCAAAAGAGTATCGCTAAAAGCAGCTAAATGCGAACAACTCCGCCACCCATCCGCAGAGCTTTCGTGCTGACAGAACGAAGCCTCCGCGCTTCCACCTGGGAGGAGGACGGCGCCGCGAGGCGTCAAAAAGGGATGACGTAGGTCTCACGTGATGCGCGATCCGCGGAGGAAAATGGCGGATTTCTCCTTCGTGTGGATACCTTATCATTTATTTAACACCGGAAAGAGAGGTAGTGTAGTAGCTTCCGTGTTGTGTCATAAAAGACCCCCATGGTGTAGAACAACATTTGTTATTATTATTTCGTTATAAAAAGGGTTTACTAAATGACTGGTATGTTTTACATTCCTTTTCCTTAAATATTTTCTTACAAAAAATATAAGCCACTCACAACGTAAATGCGTCAAAATGCCGCGTTCAATGAAAAATAAATATACTACGTGCAACCATCTGTGGCAGGTGTTTGCTCAGAACCCTCTTAACATCTTGTTTCCCATGGCTATGTTTGACTTCCACTCCCTGTCACTAATAACCTTATATTACTCCAGAAACATAAAAAAAAAATGAACAGATCAACACTCATACGAACATAAACAGCAAGAGAATTACTACTTCGTTTTAGTCTACAAACGAAGTTTATTTAGACGTAGAAAAAGACACTCCACTCGGAAACACGACGAAACACCTTGATATCGACCATTAAGACGCTTCAATATTGTAAACCAAGAACTAAAGATGTTTTCTTTCTTTTTTTTTTCTTTAGTGGGGAAAAAGGTGAAAGGGGGGATGCGTATGTGAACAGGCGAAAACAATGAAACGTGCACTATTTTAACAAAAAATTATTATCATGTCTGTCTGAGGACTTCAGTTGATTGACATTGCACTTAGTAAAATGGAGCTCTTAGAATAAGAAAGTGCAGGGTTTCGACTCTGACGCCTGCAGCGCGTCTCCGACTGGTGTGTTTACAGCTCCTTTAGATGTGGTATCTTAATTTCCGCTTGATGATGTCAAAGAAAGTATCATGCTGCTGCTTGTCGGGATCCTGTCGGTGATGCGGTAGCGAAAGAGGATATGGCAGAGGCCTGGTCTGCTGTAGGTTGCTCGTCGGCTCGACAGTCCACGGAAGCTCTTGCAGTAACGAGTTGGAACGCCGCGACGACAGCGACACTGGTGTTAGGTAGGCGTTTCCACCAAAACTTTTACAACCAACCGCCAGGATCGCGACATCCGAGAGCATGACACGCCGGCTCCTGAGACCTTAATTCTTGCCACTTCGGGACTACTTTGGCTGCATGAGTGGTATAGCAGGCTAAATCCACCAGTTCGATATGCGTTTCGGGTAGCATAGTTCTGACTCGCGTCCATCTTAGAACACATTGAGAAAGAAGAAATGGCATACGCCTGTTTACCTTCCTGCTATATGTTTCTTTGTCAGGCCAAAAGTTCGCCCTGATGGAACTCAAGGTGACCCTGGCCAAGTTGCTCCGTCGCTACCAGGTGAAGAGCTGCCACCAGCGGGATGATCTGCTTTTAATGGCAGACATGCTGCTGCGCACCAGGAACCCAATCAAGTTCCAGCTCACCGAGAGGCTGGCTCCACAATAATACTATGACCCCAAGAGATATTCTTGTCTATATTCCTATTTTGTTTGGCGACAAACTGTCCCTCAAAAGCTTGGAAAGTTTTATGTAAGGCGACACTGACACAAAATGAATACGAAAACCGAATCGCGCACGAAAGGGAAACACACAGTACCTTTATTCTACGGTATATACAGAGAGATATCAAAATCCAATTGCAGGGGCTCTCCTCTCCCAAATGTTACCTGGGGAGGGGAAGTACTAGACCAAGGTCCTTTCGTCATGTAACCAAATCGAATGTGCTGCGGCTTCAAAGCATTTACGCGCAAAGAAGGTACGAAACAAATCCAGGAGTATAAAGAAGAGGACACTTGACCGGTCACCCTTTCCACTTTAGCAGAGCGGAGGCTGGAGAGGAGGCAACTACCTTCCCAGCGTTCGCTCTGCTAACGTGGAAAAAGGATGCGGGGAGCTTCCCGTGAACTTGTAGCCTGAATTCGACTATAGTGCCATTAAACACTCCCAAGTGTAGCGAAAACAGGTCTATATGCGCCTTAATCAGGCCTGTCGTGCAATTTAGTTAGGTGTGATAAGCCGTGCAGATAAATAGGGCACTGCGACGGTGTTTGATGGAGGGGGACTGGTGCAAGCAATATCGTAAAAAACATCCTGTGTTGACGCGAATAGCGTCCGAACGCACGTGCCATCCGTCCTTCCCTATCATTGCATTTTCTCTCAGCACATTGCTCGTTGCACGTGAGTACGTCAAAGATTCGTCCGGACGTTGTAAAAACAGCTTATTCCTAAAGGGCAAGGCTAGCAGTTTTCTCGTCTGACATCACCACTATGCACACCGTTTCAGATTACGACGGATCGCAGAGTAAGCTACGAGCCATCCCAGCCAATCCAGCGCCATGACCGCGTAACCTAACGCGTCGCTGCGTCCCTCGCGAAGGTCACGTGACAATCACACGGCATTGCATTGACTTGGACAACTCGTAGCGTCCCCTATGGTTCATCGTAAGATGAAACGACGTATAGTGAAACCAAGCAACGCCTTCCATTTCAAGCGTGTTTACTACTCGAGAGAGGCCAGGGATCCTCTGATGGTCTTGTAGAGCGTCGGGTTTTTCATCTAGGTGGTATTGGAAATCAACCAGTTTAAAAAACATTGTGAAACTCCTTCCCTTTTTTTTTTTAAGGAAGCTGCCTTGTTGGTACATAAAAAAAAGGGTCCCCGGTCCCTTCATTCAGCGCAGTCCAGCCTTTGTTAGAGCTTTTCAGAAGCGCTCGTACATCGAGACATCTAATGAGATAGCGTCGACCATGAATTCACGAAAATGCACGCCCAGTTTTCTTTGACTGTTCGCAACATCGATGATCCCCGCAAGATGACCAGTTAAAAGGAGACGTCTCGGTGATATAGGAAAGGCATTCATTTTGAAGCAATGTATTTAAAGAGCTGCGTTATAGTTACTGTGGCGATTTTAAACAGCAAAAGACGCCTGGATGGTGGAAATCGTTTTTCTCGTGATACGACTCACGAGCTGTAAGAGGCTTCTGTTCGTCTTATATTTCTCCCGAGTTCTCGAAGCGATTAACAAAATTTTGACTGATAAAGCTCGGGTCGACCAGTCAAAATAAATACCCGACTCGAGATATCTTAGTTTCTATCTCTCATACGTTGATGCACGATAGCTGAACGTATGAACTGAAATAAATGAAAGAATTTCATTTTCGCTCCAAAAACGTATTTGAGCAATAAAAAAAAAAGAAACAATAAAAAAGTATTGAGTTTTTTTCGATGCGCAGCCTATCGTGAAGTTTCATAGAGCGGTACCGAATTCTGTTTAAACCGAACAATGCTATTTTTTATACAAAGCTTCAAGAATTGAATATCCTGAAAGGATGGCATTTTCTACGTTGCGCTACGCTTAGTAGTTTAAGGCGACGCTTCGTAGAAACCTTATATACAAACAAAAGAAAAACAAAAAAATCCCAAACGCGACTTTAATAAATATGTCGCCTAATGAGTCATCTACTCCCAGAATTCCTGTATCTTAGTGGCTAGGAGTCCGGTTAAAGAGACGGACTGCACCGATATTGTTAAGGTACCTAGGAATGAAGTTTGTACAACGCTAATTAAAATGTCCTTCAGTTCGAGTTGACAACCTTTAAATAGCCCAGCTAAGATTTTTTTGTTTTTGTTTTTTTACTTTTTTGAAGTTGGGTCGCGCGCGTATTAGGAAGAGTGGTTGCTTGGGCGAGTTGGTTTGACATCTTATACAATCTTGTGGGCAGCAAGGACGGGGACAAAAGAAGAAAACAGGACACAACAAGGCGCGTATTAAGGGTTGTTCTCGAACCGTTATAATTAAGGGTTTGCTTTTAAAGCGCTATATTATAAAGGCATTCGGATATCCATGTCGCGCGTTATTTTAGAGGATATTTCGTGTGACCTCACAACTCTGCAACCTGATGGCCGCAGTCATGCTGATACATCATACAAAATACACGGTCTGCACACATGATAACAGAAGTAACTGCGGGCACATCTCAAGCATGTTTGCTTTATACACATTAATGTTACGAACATGTCTGTAGGCTGCCTTTTGCATGATTTATGAGCAACGTGAACGCGGTTTAAGGCTGGTTCTTTGACTTGCGTCTATATCAAATACTCTATTCAAGATACTCTATATCAATTAGTTTTTGCTAGGCAATTCCGTAGCTTGTAGATTCATTTCATCGAGGGTATTTTTTATGCTATCATACTCTCATTTCTCAGTAATTCGTAGTCAAAATCTTAAACACATTTTTTTTCTAGCTTTAAATAAAAAATTGGTTGCGGGAATGTTTTGCGCTAATAGTAACCGGCTCACCCTAGTCTAAAGTTCAACAGATTGCAAAGTTAAAGCAGAGAACACTTAACAGGAAACAAGCCAGGGGCAACAATTCAAACACGGAATACCAACAAAAGGACTGAGAGTAGAAAATTAGGACAGGACACCAGAAAAAGAACCCCAGGTGTTGTCTTTTTTTTTTTCTTCTTTTTTCTATGTTTGACGACGCTACGGCAAGAACGTGATAGCCCGACCTCTTCCCGAGGACAGAGGTGGCAACGACGCAGAAGACAAGACAGGTGCAAAATAAGCTTTCGGAATGGGAGTCGTCCCAATATTGCACGGCTTTTTATAAAACTGTGCAGTGGACGCAAAGGCAGCACATGGTGTGGGAAGAAGGGGAAAGCACCAGGAAGCCTGGAGAGGAGAAAAAAGAAATCGCCTCTTCCCTACAACGTTCCGAATGCCCCCCTCCTCTGCCTCCCGGCCTTGCTTGTGCTTGCCCCTTCTCTTCTCGCCCAGTGCTGCCTTTGCGTTCGCTCCACGGTTTTAGTGCTGTGCTTCTCCGTGTCCGCGTGGGCCTTTCTGTTTGAAGTCATCTTTAGATGCAGCTTTTGGGGTACCCTTTTCGAAGAAGACGAGTCAAACGACATTCATATTCTATACGTTAGCCCTTCTTGATATGCAGTCGTTTTCTTCTTTTTGAGTATATAAAATTTATTTAACGTGAGCTCCTGATGTAGCGACCACGGCGATTAGTAAAACGGTGACTCTAAGGTGCGCATTATAAGTTAACCAGATGGAGGGATTTTCAGAAATATGACTATAAATGGATTGACCCCTTTTTGCTTATTTGTCCTAAAAGCTTTACATCTTTACATCCAGTGATGTTACTCCTTGTGATGGGGCTGCAATGCATAAAATAGCACGGCAATTTTGTTTCCCTTGCTTCTGTTGATTGCAAATAAATGATACTAGTGTCGCTGAAGTCGATGCAAGTTACGCAATGCGGAAATTTCTTCGAAAGCAGTTGAGTTCTATCTTGAAGTATTTTTACTCTACTCAGTATCTTGAGTAGCAATATAAATACTTCACAAAGCAAGTGTTTAGTAACTTATCTTAAATACTTTTGCCGAGTACCTTGTCCAACACTGGGCTGATTCACACAGCCCCGTTTTCTTACGTGTTCTTACATTACGTATAGGTTACCGAAATATTCCTACCTCGAATGTCGCGTGTCAGACTACCTGCATGAACAGGCACCCACGCTTAATATCAAGCATATATGTTCCGGCGACTTGCAGGTAACCTTCCGTAACGCAACGTAGCGTAAGAAGACAGGCCTGTGTTACCCAGCCTTTATTGAGCTGCGCAAAACTATTTGGTTTCAAACGGAAATCACAAAGAACATACCATTTAAATTTGTTCCAGGCCTGGTTAAATCTATTCAGAAAAAAACACTTTTTACCCGCATCTAATTATAAATGTATTCAGGGTATTGCTTTGTTTTCTTCCGCCCCCATGTGTATTCTGGATTGACGACTCGTTCTTATAAACCCGCAGGTTCTACGACGCTCTCCGGAGAAGGAAATATCATATTTATCGAAACATTTACAATATAACAATATAAATTTGAGGGATATAGATGATATGCAGGACCGTCGTGTCAAGACCTTTACGCATAAAAGCGAACGACGATCAATTTTTTACTGAGTAATAAGCTCAGCGGAAAGTCTTCAAACTTACCTTCTACTTTTATTTCAATAAAGTGGGAAACTAACCGCAGGATCAGGAGGACGCCTTTTTCAAGGGCAACACGGTGACGCACGTGCCCTAACTTCGCGACTCTCATTTCCAGTAATGTGTACAAAAGACTCCGCTCGGCTATCAAGGACGCTACATAGTCAATGGACGCTAGGACCCCTTTATTCGCACGCGCGTTTCCGCACCTCTGCCTCTCCATTATATACGGCGCCGAAAAACGAAAAAAAAAAAAAAGACGCTGAAACCACTGCCGCAACACCTGGAACTGGTTGTGGAAAGGGGCACTACGCCGCCGGCGCAGAAACAAAATATCGACAAACTGGCCATCGTCTGTCTGATCGTTGGAGAGCACGAACTCGTTCCTCAGTCGATTGTCGGAGACGGGCGGAAACGATCACATTATGAATCGCCTGTGCTACGCGGCCTCTCTTGTCCTTGTATCGGCTGCCCTGGTGTCGGCCGAATTCGACGTTGTCAAACACGAAAAATGCGGTAAGTTCCTTTCCATTCTGATGTTGGCGAAATCGTAAACTGCGAGATTCTTGGCGCGGTAAGCTCTCCTTCGCCCATTCCAAACGCTTGTTTTCCCAGAGGAACGAACCTATAGACGTTTTCTGTTTCCTGCAGTTCACAGTCACGCGGGTTCCGTATGTGATATGCGGGACCCCGTAAAAAGAATAAAACATTTCAACCTGGAATACGCGAGAAAATATATGTGAGGCAAAACAAGAAAAAGTGACAATCCCGCCTTCTTTCTAAAGCAGCTTCCAGCGGCGTGGAGAGATCAACACGATGTTTTACCGCATACCACTAGTGACGACTTTCAAGATGGCTGCGCCCTTGGGGAAAAGGTGTATAGCACAGCTTCTCCAGATTTTCGCAAGACGGCACTAATACATAAAGCCCCTCTGTCCTGGGAGAAGTGGCGCCATTCATTTTTGCGGAAATGCTCGAGACACGTGCCGCGCGCCACTTCTGGGAAGAACGTCGCGTCTGAAATCTAGCTCGGTGCTGCGCTGTGCAGCCATGATCTTCCCAAGGGCTGCACGTTGCACGTGCCTCTTGCACCGGCGCACCTTGCACTACTTTTAAAACATGAAGGGGCTTTATGAATACAGTGCCGCCGGCGTCAGCATATCAAAGGTTAGATTTGTGCACACTGTGAAGGCGAAAGGGAGGAAGCTGTCAAAACCCTGCCGATAGCGAACGTGTGTCGGGAAGGCGCCGGAAGAACGCTGGGGTGAAACACGAAAAACGACAAAACAAAAACCATGGGTAAAATTCAACATACAAAAATATCACGCAAGCAATTATGTAATTTTAAGTCCCAAGAGACCAAAGAACCTCTCTTACCTGCTCTAGCGTGATCTGCGAGGAAATAAAGAGCATGACGTTTCACCTGTTCAGCCTCAAAATGCAAATTCTATCTCTTATGTCAGAAACCTCATTAAAACTCGTTATTGACTCGCCTCTATCTTTTTTTTTTACCAAGAGAATTGATCGTGCAGTTCATCTGAACACAATCAGGCATACATCTAATCTACAGCAACACTCGGATTTCAACCTACAGCTACTTTGAAAAAGCAATATGCATGTTGTGGTGCAAAGAAACGAGTATAATTCAGACAAACGAGCGAACCGCGGTGCGGAAACAGCCGCGAGACATTTTCGTCTCTATGTCAGTCTCCCTGTGAATGGAAACAGCCGGAGGAGAGCTTTGCCTGCCTAGAATCTTCGAGGCCATGATGCAATTGACATATTTGCTAGATTGGCAACGTATCAGTGGAGCGTGGAGTGAGTTAAGTTACACCCGCTGCACGTATTGTATTGTATTGTTTTGTATTTAATTGCACTTTTATTGCACAATGCCGCCCGGTGTGGCAGTGTGCTTCAGGGAAAGGCATGCGTCCATACACGTTTTGTGCGTGTTTTGTGCGTCTGTGGTAGTAACTGTTGTAAAGCTAGCATTTAATATCAAAAGAACTTTGCGCTTGCGTTTGTCAACATCTTGTTTTGGTAATTGACCTCGAATCTTTATACAGAAAATGCTACCATGTGCAAAGCGTCCACTTACGTTTTAAGCATTTCGTCTTGGTGATTAAAAATGAACTACTCCCCTGAATTCCTCACCGCACGCGTTCCATTCTGAGAACCTGTGGGCCAGGAGCGAAGCGCGTATTTGTTTTGCTTCCCACTGATTCACACAATTCATAGCGTGGCATTACGCAGCAATGAGGCACTTTGGATTTCGAAATAAGCCTGTTCCACAAAAGGACTATCTGACAGAATACCCATCTTGCTTTACGTGTTTGGCAGCGTTTGCTCGGTGAGCGTGAAGTCATTAGAGTTCTAATACCTAGATCATTCCAATCACTCCGATAACTCCTCCAATCGCGTTTTTACGCGCGCATCGTACATTGTGTATCACTATCGGTGGGCACAAACAATCTAGTAACCCCCTTTACTCGTAGTGAATAACGGGTTTCCAAAGGCTCCTGAATGTTCCAGCATAAAGGCCTCTCCACGCACTGCCATCTCCTTACGTCATGTTATATTATGGGAGCTTACGTCCGCTTTCGCAGACAGTCACCAGGAGAGCCCTGCTTCGTATACATGATGGCAAAAAGTATAACTTCGCATGCGACATAAGAAGCACACATACCCCTGTGACTCGCGTTCGAGTCATAGCATGACGTCGGAAAACGTAAAGAAACGCTTCTGCGTAACCGGGGCTTTATTCTAATATCCCCTTCATTTGTACCGTTGGATGCATAGAAAAAGAGAATATGAGTTATGCATACAACAGCCGATGACGCACACGTTCTATCTGCTCTTTTTTTTAATTACTGAATGTGCGGTGATTTCCTCATTGTGTCCTTGGGAGATCTCTATGACGTATCATGGCGACGAGTCGAAGAGAGCGTTTACCTTATTTCCTCGTAAGAACGCTGGAGTCTAGCAGATCGTGTTTTCCCGGAAAGGTAACGGTATTGGGGACTCCCCGCGACGGGGCAATCTGTGACCGAGAATGTTAGCGCACTGCAGCTCGGAGCTCGTGGAGCGAAAGCTCGCGCTGCATTACCCTGGGATCCTGAGTCCAAACCCCACCCCTGCCCGTTTCTATCTGGATGAGCATCGTACCGGCGTGCGGTCGTGTATCACCACTTTCTGGTGCACGTTAAAGGCCCCAGGCTAGCGGTTGCACTACACTCGCTAAACTTCTTACCTAATGTACTTTACTTACTTACCTTAACGAGCCTTCCTTACTTACCTTAACTTACCTTACGTAAACGTCAAACACCCACCGGGGGCCGACCAACTTCTAGCTGTATAAGCATACAAAACACAATTACTTACTTTCCGCGGCCAGTTCGCAAAATGTGTCCGCAGCACGCACCTGCTTCTTTGTTGGACCTGCGAAATTTTTAGTGTTGGGTAGTTACGCTCTGCCATAGGACAGGAGGATCGGATGCACTACGGCATGTGCATGGGCAACCGGTGTACGTCGCCTGCGCGTGTGGGTTGGTGTACCTGATCCCCCTGCCCTATGGCAGAGTGTACATTCGACAGACGGGAATGGGAAGGGGGGGGGGGGGGGGGGGGGGGGGAGGGCGGGGAGTGCTCTGACATCCGGGCAAGGGAATGCCCCCTTTTTTCGAGCTTCTCGCCGTCTGGCCGTCTCGCGGTCCATTGTGATAGATGTGTATGTTCTCCGCCATTTAAAGGTGCCCTGAAGAGGTTTCAGAGACGGCACAAATATGGTGATAACTCACTCTGCTGGCTTGAAGCATCCTAGAAATGCCTAAATCTTGATGATACGCGTCCGATATCCGTATGAAAAAAGCAATCGAAGATCGCAACACGCCAAGGTCGTCTCCGGCGATGGGAGGAGCCGCGTTTTGAGACCAGGACCACTGTCAGCTAATAGCGAGCGAAGGATACTCGCGCCTCCGACCGGTAGAACCGCGGAAGTGAGTGATATTGGCTCTCAGTTTTCCCCCTGATTTCCTTTTACAACGCGTGCACAAACACACACACCGTGGAGTGATGTCCGAACTATGACTCAACCGGGCGAGCGCGCGCTCGAGAGCTGACGACGGGACACATATCACTCCGGCGAAATAGAAAAAAACGCACAAAAATATAGTGTTGTTCTTGAGACGATTGAGGGGGGGGGGGGGGGGGGGGGGCAGTATTATGTTCTTTCTCCGAGAAAAATAACATTTTTCGACAACTTTTTTTTTTTTTGTCTTTATCAACAAAAGCAAGCATATTTGGTAATAACAGCGTTTGAAATCTCAACGAAATGTCGCATTTTCATTGGTGACATGTCGCCCTGGCTTCCTGAACAATGCTCTTCCCATTGCCGGAGATAACCTCGCCACGTTCGATATTTGATTGTTTTTTTATTTTTTTTTTATTCGGGGATTGCTTGCGTATTGTTATGATTTATGGTTCTCTAGGATGCTTAGAGTACGCAGAGTGAGGTACCGCCATATTCAGGCCACCTCGGAAATCTCGTCAAGGCACCTTTAATGACACTAAAATTTTAGCATGGCATAAAGCAAAGACTGCGAAAATAATTGACAAGGATTTTTTTTTTTTTTGTCGACACGGGAAAGTTTGTAAGCGTTCCGTCAGTAGCCCTGGCGGATGACGAGGTGGAATTCATTAGGAAGTAGGGCAAGTTTGTGTAGGCGGGTCTAGGCATGATTGGGAGTGTGTGTGTGTGTGTGGGGGGGGGGTGTAATCGAGTTTGTTTTTGTTTATATCCTGTCTAATACCATGTTGACTGCTGTATCGCGCAAAAATAAAATTTTCAGTTGTAAGTCAGTGCCTGTGTGTGTGTATTTCTACTTGCCCAATTGCCTTTTTGCGCTGTTTTTTAGACATCAATATGTCCATACAACTCGCCCAGTTACACACCGTTTTCCTTGGTTGCAATTCAAGCCTAAAAGGTGCGTTTAAATTTATACAAGTATAAACAGCAAAGATTTCACCAAAGCAGAGGTGGCCATACCGAACGCGTTAAGAGTTTAGGTAAACCAAACCCACGTGAATCAATATATTTTTGTCAGAACGTGAGTGAGACATGACAAGTTAATGCAATTATTTTTTTTTTCGCAAGGTTTAGAGTTGCCGTTTCAACTCTAAAGCTTGCTTGGGCTGTTGTTTAAAGGGCCAACAATGATTACCAATGGACATATTAAAAATATATAAAAAGACGAGACAAGGGATAAGTATTAACTTCCACCATTCAGCTAGCCTGCATCACGACCCATATTTTTGTACCACTGTTAGTCGCAAAGTTTCAAGAGTTTGGTTAGGAAACGTTCTTACTCACGTCCTTAACGAGAGGAAATATTGTTTTTTGAGGTAAACATTAGAAAGCGTAAGTTTCGATGTAAAGTAAAAAATGTCTCTTTTGCTTCCCCCACAAAGTCTTCATCGGCGTATAAAGGCTTAAATCATAAAACAGTGGCTTGATATGCTTTCATGGGTCGCCATTTAGAAGTTTGGACAAATGTATGCGTGAACGCACCAAAAGGTTCTATGGCCGTTTTAGAGGACTAAATCGACATTCCAGACAAAAAATGACAACAAAAAACCCCAGAACTTTGTTTGATGGGTTTATGTGCTCACGTTTCTTCCTACTTTGTGCTTGCTCTAATGCGCATGCTTCGCGCTTCTCAAATTTTACAAATCAAGGTGGAGAATTTGGCGAAGTGCGGATTGATCCTTGCCCCGAGCTGCCTTGCATCTTCAAGAAGGGGACGCCGCTCAAGCTTCAAGTAGATTTCGTCGCTGGTAAGTTTCTTCAACCGTCGAAAAAAAAAAGGAAGAAAAAAAGAGACCTTTGCGTTGGAAATCAGATTCAGCCTATCCAATTGGAAAGTCTGAAAGCATAGATTGGGGCACGCTGTAGTCGTTCCCGAAGCCCTCCTAATTGAATTACTTGAAACTAAACATTCAGAAAATCACTTTAACCGTCTTTGACAACTCCGAGAACGCAGAGTGTTTTATCTTGGCAGTCGCATCTGCGAGACATAAATTTCTGGGACTTTTTTTTTTTTTACTAAACTGTAGTCGTCGGCAGCCACCCCAGAGTACATCTGTGCGTAAATTATTAGTCTTCGCGACTCAAAACGAGAAACACCATCTAGGGAGAGAAACGGGAAGCTAAGAATCGCGAAAGGCGCGTGTCCATTGGGCGGTGTTGCAGGAGCTGCAGCCGCATAGTGGCCAAAGAGTAAATTAAAAAAAAAAAAAAGTCAATAGTTTAGGATTTCCTATTTAAAATAGAACCACTAAGAGATGTGAGAACATTGGCCGGCATGAAGGTTCCTTTCTTTAATCCAATGTACGGATTAGCTTTCGGGCCTACCCAGCAGACAATTTCGTCTTCTGCTGCCTTAGCTCTCTGGACATTTTCCGCCTGAATTAATTCATTCATTCATTGTAATTCCTTTGCGGAGACAGGGATTCAGAAGTCTGCAGATCTTGTCTGCTGCAAGCTTGTTAGATCAGTTGCGCTGAAAAAACAGCAGACCGCAGCACCAGAATCAATAGAAAAACACTATTGGTGCTTTCATCTAACCAATTACAAACAACATTCACAGCAAACTTTCAGAATTCTGGTCTCAGGAATACTTGCTACTTCCCTCGATTCTTGGGGCCTTAATCTACGAGGCAGGAGCAAGAAACCGAGACATCGCCACCTGCTGCGATTGGCCAGCTCCGAACCGCTGGCCAATCGTAGCAGGGCGGCAATGTCCCGCTCCCATGTTCCCGCCGTGTAGATTAGGGCCCTTTTGAATTGTGTTTCGGACCATGATAAATACGAGATGCTCCGGAAGGGGCATATGACGCGAGAACACAGCGCGAGAAACGCTGCACGCGGTAAGGTTTTTTTTAAAGCCATTGTATGAAAGCTTTACTCTGGAGTTCGAGTTCGGGACAGTGCGAGCTGACCTGCTTCGCTCGTATTGTCCCATACTTGAACCAACGGTCGCAACCAAGTCCCTGTCCTGCCAGACTGACTAGACCCTTTAATCGAAGGAGGAGCCGGCACGTAAATACTTTTCTGATTGGTCCGTTGGAAGCCCCCGCAAACCTTCCATCACAGGAACGCTTAGCCTTGTGGATCAACCTTAGAAGCTTTGCGGTACGGCAATGGACCGCCAGCGGGGTCCCATTTCTAGATGATCAGCTTCAGCAATCAATTATTGGCACCACGGCTCACTGCTTACACTTGCCCAAATTGCTGTTTCCCCGCTAATTCACGTGAATCATTTTTTTTTTTAGAGCTAACCGTCGCATCAGTTTAATATAAGGGGCAATTGTACCTCAGCCTTAGGGTTTATGTCATCTTCAATTTGCAGCAGCTCGTGTCCGCAAAAGTCATGCCTTTTCTGCGTCAAATTGGGCATGGTTCTCTTGATTGTGCCCAGCTGCTGATGTCGCTGAGCTTCCGGGTACCGTCAGGGAGGACATCAAAATGTAGAGATACGTTTTATCCTGATGTGTGGGCCACTTGCCCAATGACACGTCTGCAACAGACTCACGATGCCTTTTTTGTGAAACAGATATTTTCGCCTGATAGTGTATTTATCCCATACTTTTATGTATCTGTGTACAGGACAGTGCACTGCTGCTCACACCACTTGGCTGTTTGCAGGCACGCAAATAAACCCCATCTATCTATCTGTCTATTTATTCAGTTCAAGAGTCCTTTCGTTTAATTTTATTATTCTCAGTCATGCAGAGATGATTTCTGCCAGATGGCCGCAATCATCTGCACGATTGATGTGACAAAATTATTTTTTTATAAACCACGACTGATTTCATTTGGGTTTAAAGCACTGATCGACTTTATATTGAGTCGTGTACCCACTTAATTATTATTTGGGTAAGCGAGCTGCCTTTGAAACTTACTTTATTGTTTTCACTCAGTTAATTAGAGAAGCTTTAATATTGAAACCACGCGAAATACAGGAAAACTAGCACTGATAAGAGAAACATAATTTTAACAGTGTTCCTTATTCTGTGTTGACAGCCATTTACTGCACAATATAAATGCGTCCAGAAAATAAATAAAATAAAAATAGCGCTTTTTTGGGGCAAAAAGGTAAGCAACTGGAACTCTCCGGCGAATATCTTGACATTAACTTAGACAACCTAAACATCTTTTGACTATTAGAGTCGGAATCCCTGGAGGCCTTCGTCAGCGTGCTAGCACCTCCGCCGGCATTTTAATCCACTAGCTGAGGAGAGTCCGTTGTACAACAGCGGCTGTCTACAGAGCGTTGCAACTTTAAAACTGCACGAGATGGTCCCCCACTAAATATCCATGCTCCAAACAATGGCCAAATGCACCAAGGAGCATTGAACAACAGGTGCAGCTTTAATTTTACAACAAAAAAAAAAATCTCTTAAAAAAAAAGAAATCGGCGATGACGGATGCTTTTTTTTTTAGATAAATTGCTCGGTTGTACCAACACCTTCTATATGCTCTTGCGCAAATCGCCTTCTGCGCGCTACCATCTGTGTCTGCTGGGCTGTGGAATGCATTTTGAGCATGCGTTGATGCTCTGCTGTCCGGTATATCAGACCCTGCGCACGCGTCCACACCTCAGTGACTCAGCATCTTTCATCCGGGTGAAAAGCGATACAAAGGTCTAAACTCCGCTTGACACTGCAGAGTTTTTAATAGATCGTTCCTATAACTCCGATAACGACACCCGATAGTCCGCCGTCGCATCTATGCATTGTATCGGTTCGTGTCTTCGGGTATTGTCAGCGGGAGTATCGTAGGTATCGGAAGGATCTACTACTAGAGAGTTTTAGTACATCATTCCAATACCCCCGATAACGATACGATCCATCCGCAAAGGTGGCGGCGGAGTATCGGGTATCGTTATCGGAGTCACCAGAACGATCTACTAAACCTCCCTATTATGGTGCCTGGAACTCGACCGTCTCCGACGGTGTGTTTAGCGTCTTATCCCGCCCATACATCAAAATTGGTCCCAAAGCGACAACAAATGACGTTACAGAAGCGGCGTTTCATGCTGTTGGGATGTCACGATCCTGGCGGTCGGCCGTAGAAATACTGGCGAAAATCCCGAGCGAATGCGAGTGTCGTTGTCGTCGCGGCGTTCCAACTCTTAGCTGCCGAAACTTTTATTGACTGTCGCACTGGAGAACGATTTGCAGCAGAACAGGCGTTTGCCATACACACCCCCACGGCTGGGACACCACCAGGGTCGCAACCGACGACGACGTGACACTTCTATGACGTCATCAGGCGGAAATCGAGGGACCACTTTTTGGGGCGTGGTAAACACACCAGTCAGAGACGCGTTTCAGGCACCATGCTTCTATCAACTCTCTTTTAAGTCCGACCGCAGCCACGGCTACAATCCGACGGAGCCAGTCAAGCAGTCCCGAAATTGCATCGTCATGGCGGTCGTCGTCTTTGTGCGTTTGCCATTTCCCGCTAAACCAATCACGCTGTAGTGAATGTGCCGTGATTCTGCGCTTTTTCGTTTATTCTCTACGGGATTGACTCACTCGATTAGGTAGGAAACGCACAAAGACTACGAGCGCTGTGACGGTGCACTTTTTTGGCGCCGACTGATTGACTCATTTGTACCGTCGCGTTGGCTGCGGGCGCATTTGATGTGAGAGGTCATGCGGAGAGAAAGTTCGTCTGCTTCTTGGGGAGGAGTTGCGGTGACGTCAGGACGACGTCGAACTCTGATTGGCTTTGATTGAAAGGAGAGTGGGTAGACCTCAATGCTCGATGCCTTGAGGTCTGCCTTGAAAACATCTCGCCAAAAACAAACGGGGCACTCTCGGTATCAACGGCTCGGTTCGTAGCTTGCTTCGCAGGGGAAACCGTCCTTGAGGGGGTCATTTCACCAAGCTCGAGCTGGTTCCCAATGAAGCCGCATCCAGACTACTAGGACACCCTACAAAGGACACGATCTGAGAACAGGCCTCAAGCCTCTTCGGGGTCTGTTTGCTTTATTCGTACATGTGCTTCGAACATCTGTGTAGGCATTTTCCATTGGGACCAATCTGACAAAACCGTCGTACTAATAAAAAAAAAAAAATCCCGCCTTGGACAGCGTTTGGAAATTGCCTTTTCTGTGTGATGTATTATTAGCTGTGTGATATCGGTTTAAAAAAAACATTTCAATAAATAAATTAGACTTTGTCCATTTAAACCGATCATTCATAAGACGTCCCACGGGAGAAATATAGATGAGGGCAATACTTCGAGCTTCACTGCGTTCACGTATAAGTCGCGGTCATATCGCTAATATACATCCTACAAAGAAGGAAAAACGACCCAGACGCTGTCTGGGCCGTTTTTCCTTCTTTGTATGACGGGTCCCGTCTTCTTGGTCATACGAAAAACCTGCCTGCAGTCAAGTTCGAAGGACACACACGTGGGAGGCAAACATATGCTTGCTACATGCGTGGGCCTCGTTGCATTGTCCGCAGACACTGCGGTCATCATGCCCGCAGCGAACACCGCGTATCTTTTTGCACGATTGAGCAGTGTGCAGCCTTGGGCATGCGGCAGCGAACACAGCATCTTCTTGTATACGACGTATCACCAGCGTGACCGCGTCTTTACGTGTCTCTTCCTCGCAGCGGACAGTTTCAAGACGCTTCAGATGAAACTGCTCGGAGAACTGTCCGAGGGCGTCTGGCTTCCGTTTCCCAACTTCGGCCGGAACGCCTGCAAGAAGAACGGCCTCACCTGTCCCCTGGAGTCCGGCAAACCGTACACGCTCCAGAGCACCCTGAACGTTCTCTCGAGTTTTCCGACGGTACGTGGATCTCGCGGTGTGTAGTGCCCTGAACGAACGAGTCTTCGGATGCAGTCACTGACAAGGATGGCAACGACGGGGGCGTCTCTTTTCGATGATGCCCCGCGATTAGCACGCGCCCCCGTTGCCTTCCGTCGTGCTTTGGTTGAGTGTGCATGCTCGAAGCTCACGAAACACCCAAAGCTGCAGTCACGCACTGCTCGTACACCGTATAATTTATAAATGACAGTATGCAGATGCTGTCGCCCTGCGTCCGTGTGCCACCCAAACAACGCAATGCCCCTTAAAACGCAAACAAAGCACGTCACACGAGCCGCTGTGTAATGCTGCGTGTCCTGGCGAAGCTGGCGCGCTTGGTGAGAAATTCGATGGCGATAGACGAGTGCGCAAGGGCGTCGTAGTTTCGCAACAGCCTCGAGGGCCAAAGTAAACAAGTTTCTTGCTCCCTTCGTCCGAGCCGCACGGCACGCACCGTGCGGTGCATGGTACGTTGCTCGGTCTATACCACGCAGTTGCGGAACATCCGGTCGGGACTACCGCAGGGCACCAAATGAATCTCTGGGTCTGGCTGTGCCAATAAACTCCGTTGCAAGTTGGCGCGCACCAACACGATATCGCAACTGGGTGTAACGACTGGGTGTTTTTTTTTTTTTCTTTCTTGATGCTCTTTATAATGATTATTAACAAAAGGCAACGTGCTCTTCAAGGCATAAAAATGCAGACGCGATAATAATCAACAAGCCCTGCAAATACGAGCGTACCCTCCTTCCAGCGTTATCGAAACAGCTCGGGCAGACATCTGACACTCACTTCCTCGTTTTGTTTGACTGCGTGCGAGAGTAGATTTTCCCCGTGCTTCACTCAAGGCTATCGGTAATCGGTGTGCTAGGACTGGAGCAAGAGACACGCTAGATTTTCTGGAAAACGTTGGCACAATGAGGCATTCTTTTGTCGTGGCGTTCGCGTGGCCTCGGCTAAAGCCGCCTTCGCGACCCGTTGGCTCAGATGCAACGTAAGCTCGACCGTCTTCTTCCCAGGGCCGCTGGATCACTGCCGCTTCGCTTCGGCCTGCTGTCTCGCCGGGATACCCATATGCGCCGAGAAACTGAGGGAGAGGAGGAGACAAGACAACGCGGGGACGTCAGGACGGCGAGCTCTGGTACGAATGATTAGTGGGCATACCTAAAGCTAGCAGCAGCCTTTGTCTCCACTGCACTCCTCGAACCCGTTCGAATGCGAAAGCCAAACGCCGGACGCAGGGGTTCTGCATGTTAGTGCCTTGGATGAGTGCAGTGGAGACAAGGGCAGCCATACTTTAGGTCTATCCTGTAATCATTCGAATAATAGCTCGGCTCTCTGAAGTCCCCGTGCGATCTCGTCTCCTTGTCTCACTCAGTTTCTCGGCGCATTAATCCGAAGCATTGTGTCTTCACTCCAAAAAATGCGCGCGCGTTTACGTTGCTAAGGAGCACAAACAAAGCCAATTTCCGCGATCTACGCAAATTACTCTATGAAGAATATGACTCGGAAAACATTTAGGCTTGCGACGTAAGGCTCTCGGTATTAACTTAATTCAGTTTTATTTAGCACCATAATAAACACGGAGGTAGCGGGGGGGAAAAAAGCCAAAAGTAAATGTTTTGCGTGGATGTTTAGACAGCGGAAAGTTAACTAGACCGAATGTGCATCCGGTGTCTTCGCTGTAGAATAGAAATTCAACCACTTCAGTACCACTACTAGCCTGCACTTTAACGTGCATTACGCCGTAGCGATTACTCGAGCACGAGCCCGTTTGATGTTTATCCATATCAAAACGGGCATGTGTTGGGATCACCGTGGTTGGGATTGAACGTAGGATCCTTAGGTTCTGCCGCGGAGTTTTCACTCCGCGTGCTCTGAGCTGCGGCGCGTTAACAGTTTAACACACACCCGAAACAAAAGCCACAACTGTGGTACTTGACGAAGTTCCGGTCCCCAACAAAGCTAGCAGTAGTAACAAAACCAAACGCGGTAATAAGTTGGTCAACCATGTCAAGCTACTTCTCTAACACAAGCACCATTTCTATAGCTTAAAAAAAAAGTCCCTTTGAAATCGACGAATTGATCCACTGTCTTGGGTCCCATATAAGTGCCCCTAGAATTCGGGGACCGCTTTTCGGGGCTGAAAACGACGACTCGGCACTGATGATACCCGAGCTCGGCTAATCTGCTTCTGTGTATTCCGCGGCATTTGAGTGAAACAGTTAATTTTTTTTAATACTTCGCGCCAGCGTGATCGCGATGTGGTTCGGCGAACGCCCATGCCCGTCCCATTTTCCAAGCTCTCGTGTATAAACCGTATAGACCAACACGTGATGACGCTTCGGTGGCGCCGCTGTCGGCACGGTCCGTGTGCAAACGCTTTACCTCTCGCAAATCGGGTTTGTGTGCGCGCGCAAGGCACAAACCTGCTGTGGGCAAACGCGGGCTTGTTTGTAGACAGCGCGTTGGCCTATTCACGAACTGATTGATATCTTTGACGCCACTTCATGACGACGGCATTTATACGACGTTTTGCGCGTAAACTGTGGGCAGTCGGCACGCGCTTGCGTCAATTTCAGCTTGAGCGCAGCAGTAGCTACAAGTGCGAGCTCCGCGTTTGGAACGGTGTTGCGTATGGGCGGTTCCGAGGACGTCGAGCCAGGTAGCGGGCCAAGCGTGGAGCATATGAGCAAACTTTTAGCAGCAGAAAAACTTTGTTTAGTTACATTGTTGAAGATGTTAATTTACAGAAAGCAGAAATACACACTTGTCGCCGAAGAGACATGAGCAAACGAAATCAAACCAAAGCACTGAGAACCCTCATCTTTCGGGGAACGCTGCTCCTTAAATAGGCACACTTCTTCTCATGTCCCGATGAGGAGTTTTCATGCGTCAGTGTCGAGAGCCAATGGACTTCCTTCCAGTAAGCTTCTACACATGAGTACATCCCCCTCTCCTGGCCTTGCTTCCCGCTGTCGCTATTTTCGCAGCGTAAAGTTCCGGTCAACCAACATATTCAGCACCTACCTTTGCGCATATTTCGTCTTTTTTGACGATTCTTGTTCGAGTATATGCTAGTATGGGGCATAAAGCTTATAAAGGGGTGTCCAAACAGGACACTACGAAACGCACGACTCCGACAAATCGTGAAAATTGAAGCGGACGCGCCCGCTTCAATTTTCATGATTTGTCGGAGTCGTGAGTTTTGTAGTGTCCTGTTTGGACACCCCTTCAGGCAACGACGATCAGTACAACAGCACAATGCCAAGGTATTCTGACAGGCGGAGGCAAGTTGTCTTGCCCTTCATTTGTAGTTCGAAGACGATTCCGCAGGCGGCGTTCGGTCGCCCAACACGTCCCTCCCTCATAGGTTTCACTTGTGAAACACACGCACACAGGGAAACAGGGCTGATAAGGAAGCGACGGCAGCACCCTCTCCATTGAAGTTTCTAGACGGAGTAATTTGCCACTTTCCGAGGCGACCGCCGTTCCCGTGGTTTCCCGTAAATTGATTCCCTGGCTCTAATCTTGACGACGAAAGAGGGGTTGGTGACAGGTGAAGGTCATTTCGAGGATCGGCAGCGCTGGCAATCGGGAAGCCGGGGAGACTACATCTGGATCTAATATTGATGCAAAAATACTCCAGAAGCCGGGCGAAGGCATGACTACTGTAATAACAAAAACGGCTTGACACAACAAAAATAGCAATTTAATTGAACGTTTGGCTTCCATGCTAAGCTTCCGTCAGAATACACTTTCAGTAACGCAAAAATCAAATGAGAGTCGCACGAAAAGTTGGGCTGTCTAAGCATGAAGTTTGTGTACACATCCGGCAGGGGGCCACGGTTCTTGTTAACCAGCGATGAGTCAGTTCCGCGTTTGACGTTCTGGATGAACCAAGATTCCAGCAGCTTTTTCGGTCCCCACCTTTTATCTCTCGCCAAGGTCGATACCTTGTCAAAGTCAAATTGGTGGCCATGCGTGGTCGACGAGTTCGGATTTGAAGCGGGTGGCGTTCGTGGAATCGGAGACATTCCGTGCGTGCTCTTTTAGTCTTGTTCTTCTTTTTCGTCCCGTCTCTCCATAGTAGGAAGCGTCACATTTTTTGCACTGCAGCTGGTAAATCACGCCCCTTTCTGTCTCTGAGGGGGTCGGGTCTTTTGGCTTCGAGATAACGTTGGCAATGGACCTTTTTCCAGTAAGCTTCCGCGCATGCGTACACTCTCGCATTTGCCATTTTTGCAGGACACCGGGACGCGGTGCCCTGCGAAAATGGTGACAGCAACATTGTCAGCATCTGTCTTCGCGCGTATTTAGTCTAATTGGACGCTTAGTTTTCTTGGTATCGGCAGTATGGGGTATAAAAAGCACTGAAAACCGATACAACGGCACGATACCAATGTGTGTTGACGGGCGGAGGCATGTTGGACTGCTCTTGTATTGTAGTTCGCAGACAACTCCCCAGACGGCACTCCGTACTCGAAAAAGGTCTATTGTTCCGACTCATGTTTACAAACAAACCAAAGCGCCCCTAGCGGACGCCACCGACGCCGCGCACGCGCGATGGGGGTGTGGGCAAGAAGCCCGCCGTCGCCCATAAACAAACCATTGGAATGGGATGTTGTAGGCATAAGTGTCAGTTCCCGCGCTCCTTTTCGCGTTGGAATTGTTGATTCTACGTCTTCCTAACAATGTCTGACTACTTGAGCGGCATCAGCGAAATTAACGAGGCTCCTTACACCGCAAAACTCGGCGTGATTAATGTAACATGTGGCGATTCATTCCCCGTGGGCTCCGCAGAATGGACGCTAAAGCCAGATTGACATGGTGAGGTTCTGCTCCGTATTTTCAGTCATGACGTCGCTCGGGCTGCAAAAGCATGAACTGTAGCTGAGATGTCGACGTCGATACTGAAAGTCGCAAGGAGAATCGGACCGAGTGAATCAGGCATGAAAAGTCGGTGATGGCCACTTTTAACAATTATCAACATTTTCTTATAATTACTGTTTACAGCGAGCCTACTCAACCGAAGCACCCTTCAAACTTAAACGTCTTTTGAGGTCTGCACTTGTTATCGCAATTACGGAGTCCACGTTCGGTCTACGGGCCGCTCTCGTTTGAACGAGGAGACGACAAGCAAAAACATTTGAGAGAGCAGACGACAGCTCGAACGTTGAGGCGGCCGTTTGAACGTGATGACGCACTGAACGTAGTCCGCAGGTGGTCGTAACAACTTGACGGTTTTCCCGCGTTCATGTTGGAACAAAACAAATAAATCTGCCCAAGCAATCCTGGTCCGACGGCGTCAGTTTTTTTTTTTTTTTTTTTTTCACGGCCCCTATTTACGTCCTCGGACGGACCGAGCAGGCAGAAAACGCATGAATACTGACCTTCAAACCTTTCCCGACTCTTTTGGTACATCCCCAGTCGCGGCGTTTTGGCGAAAAGGCAGGTTTTTGTCCGCTTTATTCCAAAGTGACACAGGAATGCACGTGCCCCATGGCGGCTTCCGCCCACAGCCTCAGACCGGAAGTGCGCCTGACGCGCCACCGCTGTGCCGTGACGTAACAGAAATGAGTTCGTGTATACAGTTCGTACCCCCAACGGCCTAAACGTGCGTCCCAATGCCTCCGAAACCCCCTTGGAATGCACACGATGTCACGTGTTCGTTCAGCTCGATCCGGGCGCTGACGGTGGGGAGCTTGTGTGCGCTCCCACAGTTTTCACGTTGAGCATACGCTTGTTCATCAAAAATAAGTTGGTGCACCCTACTGATAACCATTCCATTTTGTTCCTGAAAATTGGTAGACACTCACGCATACCATAAGGTTAAACACAGCGACAGCTTTTATGTGACGTTGGAGCCGCTAACGTGTCATTTCGGAGCAGGTGGACCGAATGAACGGTAAAGGTGCGAGCGCGCACTTTGAAGTAAGCATAGGCGTTTCGTAATAAACCGAGTAACACACCGGGCGAAAATTCTACAGCGTTTCGGAAACGATGAGGTTGTATTGAGTAGAGAGCATTTCGTGAACTTGTTAAATTTATTGGACACAAACTAGGATCGTCTTGTGGTAACTAAAGACGCAAACTAACACCGCCTTTTGGGCACTGACGATCACTTCTGAAATCGCGAACCCAAGTTTCAAGCGTTGTAGCTGCACCTAATTTCACGTCGTGGTTTCACTGGCTTAACACCCACCTAGCTTTATTGGCTTTAGCGCCCGAGAACCCTTCCCGCATAATTAGCGAAAACGTTTTGTTTTATTGATTCCATTATCACCGGTCTCACATTTCGTCACGGTGTTACTTGACGGCGCATTGTCATGCCACGATGTCATGTGACGTCGTGACGTCACGTGATTCACGGTGTCACCTGACGTCATTAAGTCGCGTGGCGTCACTGCGCAGCGTGCCTTGACATGGCAATGCCACGTCATGGTGTAAGCTGACGTCAGGTAACAGGTGACGTGATGCGCAGCGTGATGTAGAGTCGTGTCGAGCAGCGTGACGACAGCGGCGTGACATTAATGTGGAATCTTTTGCCGGAGTGCTGAAAATGGCCCTCGTCGATATGGAGCGCGATCGACTGCGCGAAACCCACGAAGTATACCACAAACAACTATCAATGTAAAGAAAATCATCTGGCGGTGTGATATGTATGCTAGGAACGTACACGCGCTTAGCGGAAAGGGCCTCACACACTGACAGCTGATTTGACGCCACGTATATAAAAACAAAACAGTACACAGCGAATATTATTTTTACTACGGGGATGGGTTGAGCTAGTTGGTTATGATACACTGCGGGTGGAACCAGCTGAACAATGAAGGAGGGAGAAACAGAAAAGACCACCAATCGGTGGACTACCAACTATTTTAATAGATCGTCCTCCTCTTCTTCTCAGTCTTATGCGTATCAAATTTTTTTTTTTTTGTCTCTAGTGTTTTTTTTTCTTATTTCTATTTTTACTTAGCAGAGAGGGCGCCCTTTAGAAAGAGCTTTTCTTGCTGTTGCAGGGTATAGAAGATTACCAAACTGTCAAAACGTTCAAGTTGTGTGCTCGGCCCCCAATAAGGCTTATTACCCTATTCACACGACCAGCATAAAGGTACCTTAAACATAGGTCCCTCTCCAATCGGCGAATCAACCCTCGCTCTTGAATCGCGAGCACATGCCACGCGCGGAGGATCACGAACTGATCCGCCGCCGATCATAAAGGTTCCTTAGCTAAACGTACCTTTATGATCGTGTGAATGGAGTATTATTCCCTATGCATCAGGATCAATCAGACACAAACGGACAAGAAAGACAGGTGTGACACCAGACACAGGACAAAATACCTTCCGTGCCAAAAAGGAGTCGTTTACAGCGTACCGTTGACATGTGGGCTCTGTTATATAGACCATTTGCTATATTACCCAAGCATCAAGGAGAATGCAGGGATTGGTGTTCCCCGCGCCACACGCGCACGCCTTCCCCGTATAAAAGATTCGAAGTAAATAACCAAAATAAAGCTTTGACAAACGCGCGTGGAAGATGCCAATTGTTTTAGGTATTTGCTTTGGAAAAGTTACTACTGCTGAGGCCAGCACGTGCGGCGCGTGGAACACCAATCCCTGCATTCCCCTTGATGCTTGGGTAATACAGCAATAGACCGGGAGATGCATAAACGTCCGTGCACGTGAACATGTGGCCAACGTTAAGAATCTCGCGGGACCAGTGCAAACCAAAGCTTGAGCAAGCCAGCATCATAGGGCACCATAAGAACCAGCTTGCAAGAGAGATGTTGGTGGCTTTGGCTACAGACGACGAAGAAGAAAACTCTGTGAGCTCCGCTTCAATAACCCTGCAACCGCAAGAAAAGCAATTTCTGAAGGGCGCCCTCTCTTCTAAGTAAAAATAGAAATAAGAAAAAAAAAAACACAATTAGAGAAAATAAAATTTGATACGCATAAGAGTTAGTAGAAGAGGAGTGCGATCTATTAAAATAGTTGGTGGTCCAGCGATTGGTTGTCTTTTCTGTTTCTCCTTCCTTCATTGTTCAGCTGGTTCCATCCGTAATTGTTTTTACATATATATTATAATCGGTGGTTCTCTCAACACTTGTGGTTACGCGTTACAAGTGACGCGTCACTTGTATCTGCACTCTCAGAAAAAAACGGGGGTGTATTCTCACGCATTTTGTTTTATATAAGACACCCCAAAACCTCAGTTCGACGTAGAGCACACTAACGTCGAACTGGCGGTATTACCTTTCATGAGAGGCTGATGGCCGTGTGGTACAACTTATTAAAATTGCTAATGTACATGCTACTGAATAATAAAAAAAAAGATAATAATCGGGGTTTTCTTGGCCCTACTGAAAAACCTCAGTGTTCTCTCTCTTTGGTCTTTGATGCGTACTTTAGCTGTTTAATAAGTGCACCGCTATCAAGCCCTTTGTAACATTTGGGACCGTCTGTTCGACTTATAGTGCGCAGTACGTCGAACTGATGCTTTGGGGTACATTATATGAATTAAAACACGACACCCTTTTTTTTAGTGTGTGGTTACTTATTTCGGTAACGTAGTAATGACATAGTTACTTCTAAGACAATGAACAAGTTGCGAATTTTCGTTACTTTTTGAGCAAGTGGCAAGTAGCTGTATTTAGTTACCTCTGCAGGGTAACATGTACAGCACAAGTAATTCTGGCCCCTGAAGCTCCTGCGTGTAATTTGCACGACGAGAAAAGGCTGAATAGACAACTGAACAACGCGCAACACATATATATCAGTTTTGCCAGATTTATCTCTAATGAGTGTGTTAAAATACGTTGAAATATTAACGACGACCAATACTGAAAGCGGTTAATGCTTCATAAATATGACGTATTCAGAGAAATGAGAAAGTTACCCGCTACTTTTAGTGTGAGGTGACGCGTCCCTTGTGAAACGCAGTAATGCGTAACGCACTTAGTTACTCTTAAAGTTTCAGTAATGTATACATATCCGGTTCTCTCTAATACTCGTGCTTCGTTCACGCAGGTCAACGCCAACGTCAAATGGAGCATGAAAGGTGACAACCAAACTATCTTCTGCTTCCTCGTCCCCGTCAAGGTGTCAGATTAACAAGAATCCTTTGGGTCACCTACCACAGCGGTCATTATTGACTTACCTCAAAGCCTTTCCCCCACCCTACTTCCCTGTGTAGGCCCCAACATCAAGAGGCATCCACATGAACAACCACCACAACAAAGAGGATAATTCCTTTAACCAAGTTTGACCATTTGCGAGCCGCACCTGGATATCGTCCTTTCCTCATGTCCCTTGCCTCAGACCATTAAAAAACACCACCTGAAAGCCATTGAGAGCCTGTTCTTTCGCGAACGTACCGCTCTAACGTAGGCAAGGACGCCCATTACTATAATAGACGGAGACAATAAAGTGCCAGAGTGCCGAAAAAACAAAAGCAGCTCGCAAAGATTGTTACGGCTGGTAGAAGTTGCCGTTGTCTTGTTTTTGAAAGCTGCTGTACTCTTAAAGGGGCCCTCCAACAATTTTTCGATTGGTTTTTAATCTGCACCGAACCTGAGTGCACTGAATGTAGTAACTTAATAAAACTTTTATTTTCTCCAGTTTCGCTTTATTTTAAAAGTTATAAGCAAGTTCAAGTTACTAAAATCAAGCAAAAAAACACCTCCTTCATGACGTCCTTGGTCGCTTGAGTGGCCGTGAACTAGAGGAGGGGTAGTGAGCTCAGCGAGCGCTCAAGGCTGCCGCACTCCGTGTCGGCGGCTAGGGAGGGCTCCACTAAAGTATATGCTGGATAAACTGTATGAAGCGGGCGGCCAGGACGGCTCGCATTGCATTTGTTGCGCGATTAAAGACTAAGTCGGCATGAAACTTCAGTGGCCACAAACGACAGCAAACATGGGGTAAAAATTAATTCTGAACGGGAACCACTTCGCGCTGCCTTACCGCCAAACGGCCAAACCGCAAGCCAATGCTGCTTGCCAAAGGCCTTCGGAACGGGACCTTTCTACGCTCACCGCTCGTCGGTGCCTGGTCTTACTACCCCTTTCTAGTATGCGCCGCTTTTTCCACCACTTTGTGGCGGGTATGTGGACGGGTCATTTCTTGTTTCCGTACTTTATAAACTGCATTTGTTCCTTCTCTGATCTAAAATACTGAACAAAAGCAACTTTCATAAATAATTGAAACGGTTCGGCGCCACTATTTTTGTATTTCGACTAAAAAGAAGCTTTTAGCGGCTCTGAACAGTAAGTAGTAAGGCCAGGACCAAAGACTGCACATATCGTGCGCTTTCGGCACTGCGGGTCGCCCCCGTAGGTGGAGGAGGTTTCCGCGTCGTCCGGTTAAAATATGACGAACTGATATCTAGTTACTCTTTCCCTGCCCGCTGGCTTGCCCGAACCCCAAGAGACGTGGAAACCGCAGAAAAGTTGGGCGCTTAAATATGAATGCAGGGCCCCTTTAAACAGAGAGATTTGGTGGAAAGCAGAACAGTCGCCTTTGTCGAGCGCTGCGCACCTTAGGATGACGGCTGTTGAGAGGGGTCAGTTTCAACTCCTTTGGTCAGACTTTCAGCCTTCACCTTGAGAGCATACTGCCTCCGTATATCAGTGACACAAAACTGCGGTGTCATCTTGAGCTATAGAAGTGTACAACTTTATCCTTTTTTTTAATTGAAACTGAAAAGTGAGAAAAGCTAGAAATAAGAATATAAACAGACGGATCGACGAACAGTATTCAAACAAAGCATACAACCTAATCCTCTTAAAGCAGTCTCAGTGTTTGAGATTTCCGTCTGGCATTTTATTATTTTGTCTTAGCAGAAGCTTTGTTCTTAAGCTGCCATGTGCATCTTCAGTGGTTCACCTAAAACTGAGCGCTTCCAATTGTGGCACTCAGCGTTCCAAAATGTAGATGTCAAAGTTTAAATTTGATCGCTTGCAACTGGCCACCGGGGCCCTTAATCTCCCATGCGCTATATATCACCTACATGTCATCACTATCCTTTGGGATAAAGCAACCGCCCAACTGAACAGTTTAGTTTGAAAATGGATCACTCAATGGCAGTTTTGCCTAGACTCTCTATTTTTCTGCAATAAAAAGAACACATATATTTATCAGGGTTGATCAGTTTGCTACCTGGTAATCCATGACAGCAACTTTAGCGCAAATATAGAAAGTAAGAAACACAAATTTTCGTTGATATTACTATATTATTATTATTACTGAATGGTTGTCGGTCCGCAATTAGTTCACCAACTAGAGTAAACGTTACTTCTGAAACCTTGATTGACTTGTTTATCACTAATTACGAAGAAAACGATGTAAGGTCTGGAGTGATAGGTTATGACCTTAGCGATCCTCTCTCAATTTTCACGTATCGCAAAACCAGCTGTAAGAGAAAAGTGCCAGTGTCCTTTGAGTCAGTCCAGTGTATTACGCCGGACAGTTTGGAGAGGTTTGCGCGGAATGTAGCTAATACAAATTAGGACTACTTTTTGAAAATGCGGACCCCAATGAGGCGTACAGTTTATTTTAGGAGCGGTTTAAAAGCATTTACAGGATTTATTTTCCATAAAAACACATTTAAATGAAAAGCGGATTCGGATACCTTGTGTAACGGCCGAGTTACGTAGAAGAATAAATATTAAAACCGTGCTTTATAAAAAAGTTTGCAAAGACTACAGATCCCAAGGACCCCAAGGAACTTTTAAACATTTTCGTGATAAACTAAGAAACGCCTTGAGAAAAGCTAGGCCGCGTTATTATCATGAGCCTTTTAGGTCTTCAGAGGCCGTATAGTGACCTTATGTGAAAAAATTTTAATTGTTGTTGGGCGTCGTAAATCTTCTAATTACAAAGAAGGCATTTCTTTCGCCGGCGTCAACTGACATACCTTTCTTTAGCAGATGTGTTTAGTGGCAATTTCACAAATTTACCTCAACATATATATAGCAAAGGCGAAATTGCAATTATAACGGCTTTTTTTTAACGTTTAGTAATTCACGCAGAGGTGTTTACGGTTTTTATGGAATTAAATGAAGGGCACAGTTGTGATCCGGATGATGTGCACATTACACCAGTCAAGCATGTGTGTCTTTGATCACTCACTGTCTTACTCATACTTTTAACCTGTGTCTTTCAATCGGAGTGTTTCCGCAACTCATACCAATAGCTAAGCTTCTCTGTTATACAAAAAGGGAGATAAAAATGACACAGACAATGGCAGGTTTATCTCTGTCTTTATCTCCATCTTTCCGGCATTCTCAAAAGGCTTAGAAAAAGTTATACATGCTCGTGTATTCCAGTTTATGAACAAGCACCAAATGATTACTCATGCCCAATTCGGCTTCAGTAAACATTGATCTACCGAACTTGCATTGTTTGAACCAAAATAATTCATTATACGGAGTTTTGAGAAAATGGCATTTGCTCTGAGACATTTTCGTATATTTTACAAAGGCGGTCGATCAATTCAGTCACAATTTACCAATTGGAAGGCTCGACATTTGTGGGATTGGTGGTCAGGCACTTCTGTTACTTAAGTCATATTTAGATCACCGTAAACAGTTAGTTAATCTTAATGGTTTTGCGTCTTCAACAAGTTCTCCGGTTTACCACAAGGAAGAATTTAGGGCCATTGCTGTTTAATATTTACATTAATGATATTATAAATATAAATCCACTTACCAAATTCGAAGCATACGCCGATGACACAAGGCTCTTTTTTCTGACGACACTGGTGACGACCTTATCAACTGCGGAAATGTCTGCTTAAGAGTATTACAAGAATGAACTTGAGATAATGCGCAAAATATCAATATGAGTAAGACTAAGGCAACCATCTTTCGGCCAATAAAAAAAATGTTTCTAAAACAAAGAGCCTTGTTTTAAATGCAAATGATATAGATATTCTAGATAATTTTAAGAAGGCTTAGGTGCTATTTTTAATCAGTACGTTTTTTGGAACAATCCTGTAAGTGACTTACGCACTAGATTATCAAGGGTCATTGAACTGGTCTCTCGTAATCGTTTTGTTTTACCGACACAACTTAAACCTCTTGTGTGCAAGACTATTTTGTTTCGCATGAATTACTGCCATCTAGTATGGGGCACAACCACCCGTACAAATCTTCAAAAAATAGACCCATTAAAAAACAGAATGTGTGCGCCTCATTGAGAATTCTTCCTACGACTCGAGCACCCAAGGTTTGTTTATAAAATATAATATACTTCATTTTCACAACAATCAGAACTATAGTCTCGCAATCAGTTTTAAGTTAGAGAATAAAAGAAATGGGGATAGCACAGGGAACTTGCAGAGCTAAAGGAACATGCTGCTTCCTCTGCAACTCGTTCGGCGGAACACTGGACTGTGCCTCTGTGTCATAATAATTATTCTACGCAATCACTCAAATTCACATTCCTTATACTCAACTCCTCGAGAAAAACAACATAGACATTATTTATATTACAGACAACACTTACGCAATGAACTAAAGTGGGACGAAAACGAGCAAATCAATTTATGAGACCTGTTTAATTCTTGTATTTAACTCTGTTATGTTTGTCTTCTCGCTGTTTTTATTTACACTGTTGCTTTGTTTTGATTTCTGTATGAGATTGAGACTGTAAGGGAGCACGAGACTCTGTCAAGCTGTTTATACATATTTTTCTCCTTGTTTCCTTCATTTATGTATTGAAATTGGAAATATAGTTTACTATTATTATATTTAATATTATTCGCGTCCAGAAAGCTTACCCCAAGTTATGTTCGGTGCGTTAGGTTAGTAGTTCTTGGATGGGGAAGATAGAATGGCTTCCCGCGTAATCAGGTTTTCGTTCCAGTCGGATTGAACACCAGGATAAAATTAGACTCGGAGTTCAGTGCAAATATTTTCCAGACAAAGAAGCCCGAATATCGTGGCGGTTAAGTATAGCGAAGGAAATTAACGTCAACACACTCCCGTGGGATCGATAACGTACCCCTATTTGCCGGTAAAACAAGTTTCCAGATTCGGTCAACGGAATTCAGCAAATGCACATTTGAAGGAGTACCTCAACGATTTTTTTATTCTGACTGATTAGCCTCAACATTGGTTTAACAAGCGTATAGATACGGCTATAACAAGCCCCCAAGTATTGTGCGAAAGAAAATTTGTGAAGTTATTGAAATTTTTAATTTCTTTCTCATCGTATTTCTCAAACCTAGAGCCCCTGTCTGGCAGCACTGAAGTATGAGAACAGAATTGGTACGAAGTGGGCAGTAAACCAGGTTCGCAGCTTACAAGACTTTTGACGGTAGGAAAAGATTGCTTGGAAGCTTGCTCA